GGAGGGGGCTCGGCGGGGAGCTGGGCTCGGAGCCTGCTGACGGCGCGTCCCTCTCCTAGCCGAGCTGGTGGTGGATAAGGCCATGGAGCTGAAGTACGTGGGAGGCGTCTATGGCGGGAACATTAAGCCTACGCCTTTCTTGTGCTTGACGCTGAAGATGCTTCAGATCCAGCCCGAAAAGGACATCATCGTGGAGTTCATAAAAAACGAGGACTTCAAGTAAGTTGGTAGCTTGATTTTTCCCTCTTTTGGTTGTCGTACTGAATGAAACTGTGCGAAACAGCCAGGGAAACCTCAGTGTGGGGTTTAGCTTTTAGTGGGCCCTGGTAAAGTCTTCTTGCTAAAAACCCGCCCTTCCTCTTGCCGTCGAGACTGCTGTCGGAATGGCTTGCCTTTGTGCATGTGCCCTCTGTGGCAGTACATCTCTGCCTGAAGTAGGCAGAACGAGGTGCGTTAAGGGAGCCTGAATACTCTACTTTTTCTTCAGTATTTCTTTTGTCTCCGTGAATGATGATGCACTTCCTGCGTGCATGAACAACCCATATAGAGATTATATACGTATACTTCAGTATATATACGTATACTCAAGTACTTGAAGGAAAAAGTCTAAATGGTCGGTTATGCTGTTTATTTTGGTGTACTGATTTTCCTCAGAAACTTATGGGAAATAAACTCTTTTATTTATCTAAACTACTAACTATGGAAAAAGCTCAAATACGTGAAACGGTTTACTTTTCAGGTATGTCCGAATGCTCGGTGCATTGTACATGAGATTGACAGGCACTGCCATTGACTGCTACAAGTATCTTGAACCACTGTACAATGACTACCGAAAAATTAAAAGTCAAAACAGAAACGGGGGTGAGCACTCTTATTTAGCTGTGGTTTCTTAGTACCTCATAGATGACTTTTTGTTAAAAATCTTATCATGCTAGATAAACGTAAACATTCTATTTAGTAATAGCTTAAATAAGCTTAAAAAATCGTGGCATAATAGTCTTTTTGAAACCTTACTTTTACTTATTCATCCTTTGGATAGGCCGTTTCTGGTCTTGCTGACTTGTACAAATGAGAACTGCCTTGCTTGTTTTGCTTTCCCCAAGTCCTTGTGTTTTCTGTTGGGCACTGAATACTGAAAATACCAAAGAAACACTGTTTGAGCTGGTTTAAGCACTGTGAATCTGCTAATGCTAGCTGTGCAGCAGTTTCCTTTTTGCAAGATAGGCCTAATGATTCCCCTCATCTTTGAGAATTATTTTAGTACTGTTGTTTGTACAGCCCACTTGACGTAAATTGTCTGAAGTGTTTCATCTTTACTCTAGCCCCTAATGTTAATCTTCTTTGTCTTTTAAATGCTATTTTCACACACCCCCCCCAGAATTTGAACTGATGCATGTGGATGAATTTATTGATGAACTACTCCACGAAGAACGTGTATGCGATATCATTCTGCCTCGATTACAGGTTTGGAAAAGTAGATGGTTATGGAATTCTTAACTGCGTCAGATTCAATAGTTGTATCAGCTACTGGCTATTGCATAAAGCTGATACAGGCCCTTCTGGCACATGAGATGCCTCCTTAGGTGTTTGTTCTTACTTGGATTATGTAAAGGTGTAATGTCTCCTAGAAACGGTATGTTCTGGAAGAAGCTGAGCAACTCGAACCTCGAGTTAGTGCTTTGGAAGAAGACATGGATGATGTAGAATCTAGTGAGGAGGAGGAAGAAGAAGATGAAAAGGTTAGTAAAAGGGATAAAGCTGGTGCTGAAGCACTGCAGAACACTTGATGGCCTATGAGAAATATTTGAGGGGAGGCACCTGGAGGCTGCTTGCAACTCTTACCTCCCCCCTTTACATATTTTTGTAAAATACACCATTTCCAGTTGGCAAACTTAGGCAGTAGCACTCACTTCTGAATATGAAATACCTGAGAATGGGAAAGCTTGATTGCATGACTTCTGTAATTCATATTAATTATTCAGAAATCTTTACTGATAGATAAAAGCCCTGATGAAACAAGACTTATAGAACCTTTTCCCCCCACCTCCCCTCCTTGTTTCAGCTGGAACGAGCACCCTCTCCTGACCACCGCAGAAGAGGCTACAGAGACCTTGATAAACCTCGCAGATCTCCAGCTGTGCGATACAGGCGGAGCCGAAGCAGGTCTCCAAGAAGGTGACTTGGCTCTTCCTGAGCAATATTTTTACCCATTGTACTGCAGATGGCTGGAGCAAAGCATAGAAGTGAAGATGGTATTTCAGCCAGAATCTCTTACCCCTCCTAATTCCCTTAGCCACTTTGTGAAGTAAGGAGTTGCAGGGTGCAGCTAAGTCAGCCTGTCTGCCTGTTTTTCTAGTTCTTCAGTAACTCTTGAACTTGCTGGCCAACTTGAGCTAAATTTGACAATACAGTGAAGATATTAAGGAGAACCAAGTGCTTTGTTTTCATGTAAGCCAGAGGCTGCAGAGAAAATCTTGTTAATTGTTCTTACTGACAAGCCAGGAAAAACTCATCACTAGCCTCATTTGCTCACTGTGTGGGCCAGTCCAGAAGCATGTACTGCCTCTTGTGCAGCAGGCCAAACACACACTAACTGGGCATGTGGGGGAGGGCAAGGGAAGCCCTGGTTGCTGGAGAATACAGGAAATTAACCAGCTGGTTCTGCTGATGATTTTTACTGACATTGTCTTTTCTTCCCCAACTACAGGCGAAGCCGCTCTCCAAAGAGAAGAAGGTACTCTTTATTATTTAATCTTGGAACGTCTGCATTTTTAGTATGGCTATCTTAAAAGCTTCCTTTCTCTCAGTCCATCACCACGCCGGGAGAGGCATCGCAGCAAAAGCCCAAGACGACACCGGAGCAGATCCAGGGAGAGGCGCCACAGATCAAGATCTAAATCCCCAGGTATTTTTGTCATTTACAGATTAACTCTGGCAAGTCTTTATCAGCAGAACATCCACTGCAAGAAAAAATTTGTGTTGTGGTATCAAGAAGGTAGCATAGGTGCTTCTCTGGCTCATAAAAGTGCTAGTTACTTGAAAGCACAACTGGAGAACTCCTTTAACACATGCAAAATTGCCTTGAGTATGTTTTTTCAAATATTACCCGGAGGTTAATTTGATGCCTAATTAAGGCTAGCGTTGATGTGGCACTACCTAGGACACCAGGTCACTAGAAGCAGACTGCATTAGCAAAACAGAAAAACAGTACCAGGGTCTATGGAAGTAACTCTTACCTTTTTATTTCATAGGGCATCATCGTAGTCACAGACACAGAAGTCATTCCAAATCACCTGAAAGGTAAAAGGTTGGCCCATTTCTTACGGCCGTCTGCACTGCTGTAGGAGCTCTTACTTGTCATTTAATCTTGGGGACTGAAGGTCTTCTTACAATGTTGGGGATCATAAAGTACCTCCCTCAGTGCTGCAGTGAAGTAATACTATCCATATTTGACCGCAGAAAATGCAACTTACTGCTATGAATCACCTTGGTCTTTCAAAACTATTACTAGTACTGTGTCACATGGCTTTTTTTTTTTCTGTTTCAGATCTAAGAAAAGTCACAAGAAGAGCCGGCGAGGGAATGAGTAACAAACTAAATCCAGCATGCAGTTTAAGAACCTTGAACTGCAGTCTAATACTGTCCTATTTGCTTTATGGGATGGCTGTATACATACTGGCTGCTTTAGCAGTCCATTCCTTCAATCCTTCTCCTCTTGTACAAAAGTCTTGTTTGGTTTTTTTAATTAAAAGAAAGCTATGGATGCTTCTTACATAGTTAGTTACTCATCCTTGTGATAGAATTTGAGGATTGTTTTTAACTTGTTTTTCTGAAGGCCTGTAAAAACTAGTGAAGAGCAATAAAAAAAAAGGCAGGGTTTGTCTTTAAAGGCTCCTTGCTGTTTCTTTCATAATACTTTGTTTAGATGTCCCCTCCTTGAAGCTGGCTTCATTCTCAAATCAGGGCGTTGTTTTGACAAACAGCCACTACATTCAGTTGCCAGAGTGCAAGTATGTTCGAGTTACAAACGCTGAAGAGCCACCACCCTGAATGTTCTCAAACAATTATGCTCAGCTCTACCTTCTCTCAATGAAGTTAGCATTCAGCAAGTCCCTGTTTTTCAAATTAAGAATAATTAAGCTCTTACTCAAGTGACAGTTCTCATCTTAGTACATTTAATTATGTATCACAGGAAACCAGTTGTCTTAAACCCCTTGTGGTCCATCCTGTTATTCATAGTCTTGCTTCAGGAGCAGGGACTGACATGTTTATCTCCTGAACGCTGCATTTATGGCTAAAGTATCTTCACATACTGCCCTATGAGTGTTGACAACACAAAAAGTAGTATGCCCAGTGAATTTATGGAAAAAGTCCTCTTTAAAATTACTTCAGCATACAGCCTGATTTTTCTAGAGTATTTTCATATTTTGCAAAGTTTGTGAACAGAAAAACAAGTGTACTCTTCCCTGAAATTAAGTGTTTTACAAGGAAGACATATGGGCTCTGAACAGCATGTGCAATAACACCAGCATAGGGGAAAACGTATACTGATAGATGAGCAGCTTTAACTGGTCATACATTCATCTCTTCTTTAAGACACCTAACTTAAAGCTGGTTTTATTATTCTGGTTTCCTAATTACAGTTAAATGCAAGCATGCATACAAACAGGGAAGAGGAAGACTTGCATCCTTTTTTTGCAGTTTTATTTTTCTTTTTTTAAAAAGTTTTTTGGCACTACATAGTTCTGTAAAGAATAGAAGTGACAAATTTTTAAACACATGAAATCCCCTTCTAATTTTATTTTTTTTAGAACAATATATATAAAGTCTGAAGCAACCAAAGTATGAATACAGCTAATAGAAAATAAAGAACTTAATTTTAAAAATTCTCTCTCTTTACAGTTTATCAAGATAAAACAAAACACAATTCCCCTTAAAAATAGGGTAATAAAATAGATGAAATTTGTATCACTCAGTTTTGTGATACTAGTAAAAACTATAGTTCATATCTATGTACAAATGATACAGTTTAAAAACAGTCTTAAATAATCTTGTATCTAAACATGTTGCATTAAGATTTTAAATCAGAACCTGAATTTTTTTCCTCCCCCCACCCGCCCACAATCCCGTTAAATTTCACTTTTTCTGTTGAATGTAATTCAGATTCAAGTGTGGGTGTCCTTGAGACAGAAGCGAGAACCGCTGGTTACTCTGCATCAGTGGACCAGCTAAAAGAAAATGGATTACAATTACTTCAGCAAATTAAATACATTTAACAGTGCTTGGCTATATTCAATGTATTAATCTTACGTAGAAATAAAGCCATTTACCAGACTGACAAAAATGCTACCTGTACAACTAACCCATTTAATGGGACAATGCAGTATTACTTTAATCCTCTCTCTAAAATTCCCTCAGAATCACTGATTTTGTTGCATTGCTTTAGTTACTTAACAAAAATAATTACAGGATTTTTAAATACAGGTCTCACTTGGAAACCTCACTACAGCCAATAGAGTTGGTGCTGGTATCTCTCATGTTATACTAAGTGACCCAGCGACACTGTAATTGCAAAGCCTCCTAAAATTGGGGCACAGTTTCTCCTCTTAGTGTAGCTAAAGGTTTTTTTCCTACAGCCTTTCCCACTCCTCCCAGATGCTGAACACCTTTACCATTCTTTAGCATCAGAAAAAGTTGAGATAAAGACAGTCCTTCAACGTACCCTGAATAACTGAACCTCATCTAACTTTGAAGTTAGTGCTGCTTTGCAGATGGGTTGGACTAGATAACCTCCAGGGGCCCTTTCCAACCTGAACTAATTCTATGGTCTTGCAGGTTTTTATGTATGTAAGTCATTCCACAAGGCAAGGTACAAAAGCCAACTAACATTAACGTTTAGGGACCAAAACATCTTCAAATTCTTAACATGCTCATGGGCAAATCATCTTAACCTCTACTGAAGCAGAGGGCTCTAGAGCGAGACAGCAGCAGTGAAGGAGAAGTTCAACAGACTGAAAATTGGCTCAAATTTCAGAAATTGATTTAATCCCTTCCCTCCCACAAAAATTTTCATCTATCCATACAGGAAGCCGAACCGTTGATTTGACTCTTGGATTCACTATGGTTCCAGGGAGCCCAGCAAGTGAAACATGATTCCTTGGCTTTTAAAGCCTTTGAGACAGTAAAGAGACATGTTGCATGAGCTGTTGATTCATATACTAGTTCTAGTACCTTGAGGGTAGAAAGGTTTGTTCGGTGGATAGCTGGCATTTCCCTGCTGCATGTAGTTCTGAGGCATATTGTAAGGCCACGCTCCTCGGAGGAGAGGAAAATGGGTAGGGGTCCCATGGTCCCAAGGGACAGAAGGAGGGTTCATTTTACCAAACTGTCCTTGGAAACCCTGATCTATTTTTCAATTGAAAGGGAAAAGCACATTGCAAGTTGAAATAATTAAACATAAGTCACAAATACAATTTACATCTTAAATAACAGTTTGCAGGGGACTTAATGCGATTAGTCTGATGTGCTACTCTTTTATTTTTTCTTAAATATACATTAATAAAAATTACCACCTAAATTACTTCATTATTCACTATAATAGAATTTATTGGGGAGGAAGACAGAGGATGAATCAGTGTTAAAATCAAGACCTACAATTGCACTATTCCTATGTCATTCTCATGATGAAAAACACAAGGTCTGAACAATGCTTCTAGTATCTGTTCCCAAACAGATACTCACTATCACTGACATAGCTGTGACATGAAAGCTATTACCCTACTGCAAGAAATAATTCTCAGACACTGGAATTCCACTAATACTTGTATGCTTAAGAAACTTGATATCTACATCATAGGACCAACTTAAAATTTGTTTTTAGAAAGAAAAATAAAAACTTTTGAAATAAGTAGGCAAATTGTAAGCTATCCCATTTACGAATCCAGTATTACTGCAGCATTAAGGATGAGAAATCAAGCATCCAAGGAGGCAGGACACACAACAGTTGATGCCAAATGCTGTATTACTAGTCCTGCTCTTTTTGTTCATAGCTCCCAATTTTATAAGACAGAGCAATGCCTGCTAATTTAAAAACTTGATCAATGTACATTTAAAAATAAATAAATAAATTTAAGAAACTGTCCTTCTCAGTATATCAGTTCCTCTTCAGGCGTACGATAAAAAAAACCTTTGCAGGCAGAGTTTCATTAAATAAATGCAAGCTATGCACTTAAAAAGAACAGTGACTTTTATACAAAACATGAAGCATGGCTCTGGAGTATGCACGGAAAAAACATCTGAAACTTGTAACGATCCTACTTCTGACCAACTGTCTACTGAAAAGAAAGTAAAGTTGCTCCTTCCAAGTCAAGGTTATGTGAGCCAAGGCAAAGTTCCCAAATTGTCCTGAGCAAGCAAGAATGCAGGATCCAGAGAGCAGAGAGCTCATCTCCACTGTGCACCTCCCCAGTGACCCCACCTTAATGGCATCTAAGCCAAAAAGGAAACAAAACTGATTAACATACAAAGAGGAAAAATAGCAGGACTGGGAACTAGGAAAAGGAGTGAGATTGGAAACAGATGGAAGGAAGGGGACACACACACATACACACACACCATACTGTGACTGACTGCACAAGAAAACTGGGAAACCTGCAGGCACAATGATAGTGGAAGCAAACAAACTGAGAGCAAAAGGAAAAAGACTGAAGACAGGGACTGACTGACTACATGATGAGAAACAGGACTCGTTACGGGAGAATGGAGCAGAAACTAGGATTTGGGGAGTTTGTCTGAAAGAAGGTAGCTACTTGGGTAAGAAGAGTTAGATTGGAAGGAGCTGCTTGAGAAAGAGTCAGAGCTGGGATGGACATGGAGCAGAGACAGATAAGCCTGGACAGAGAATTAAGATCAGAAATGGAGAGGTAGGGACAAAGCACACTGAAGGCACAGAAAACACACTGGTAGCAGTTTCTGTATCCTCTAAAACATATTCCTCACAAAGCTCTGAATAGAAAAAGACGCATCTCCAGCATCTCAACAAATACCTGAAAGTCATTGGTGAATTATATATACCTCATCCAACACTGCTGAGTCAGCTGAAAATCTACTGTTGCTGTCAATCACCTTATTAGTGCAGAGAAAAGGCTGTGCAGGAGATTCAAAGTTTCCGTCTTCAGATGAACAACCACAACAGTATATTGTATGACAGATATATTTTTTTAAACACAGGAGGAGTTACACACTCAGAGTATCAAAAGACCATTATCATGATCTAGAGATCACATTTAAAATTTAGGGGCTGCCACAGTTTACGTTGCACAGAAAACAGCATGGGCTTTAATTACTATATACTGATTTTCTCAGCCTCAAACATACATTCTTGGCTTTGGTATGAGGCAAAAGGTTGTTGCTCACTTGTCACAGGGAAAACCTATATGAAGTTTTTTCAGGAAATGACATCGAGATAATGAAAGTTAAATGTGGCAGGATAGATCACAGGAAAAAAGAACATAGAAGATCACGTTATATTGCACTAAATGCAAGGAGGCAATATGCAACTTGCTAACTTCAACCATAATTCCGCCAGTCTCTAAGTTCATAGTTGCAGTCTCAGCATTCAACTAATAAACTACGTAACAACATAAACGGAAACCAAATCTGTAGGCATATTCACAGAAACGTGCTTTAGGCTCAAACAATTATTAGAGCATTTCTCAGTTGAATGCATGATTTCTCATGTGTTGCAAAGCTGTTAATGGCAGACAGGACCAATGCTAAAAGCTACAATGATCCAACTTGCCTCTTTTTCCTATGAAAACGTTCAGACAGTGAAGGTAATGACTTGGCTTCTTAAGCATTAGATTTTTAATATAAAACAAGTCAAAAGAGTTAGATGTTTCTGTAACACTTAACACTTGTACACAAAGTGCGAGATGTTTGATACAACAGAGAAGAGTTACCTGAATTCCCCACAGTGCCATTGTTCACCAGTGAGTTTGGAGTCACAGGATTGTGCCAGTGTCCCTCATGAGAAGTGCTGGGGATTCCCATGGGCCTGGCAGCAGGCTGTGCAAAGATGATACTGGGATCATTCAAGCTTACACTGCTCTGGTTATTTGTGGTGCTGCTGCTGCCAGATCTCATAGAAAATGGAACATTTGTAGAATGAGGAGGGTTACCCGGTGCAGAGTGAATAACAGGCCCATGAATAGGCCAAGAAGTGTTGGGAAGCTGAATTTGGTGGTGATGGTGCATCTGAAGTAGTCCCAGGTTATGCAAGGTGGAATACTGACCTGGGGGAGACTGGGGAAAGTTAAACAAAGGCAGCTGGACCTGATGGGGTGGCTGTGCACCCTGCTGTGGTTGCGGAACATGCTTAGACTGGGATATTGGTTGTGGCTGAGTCTGGTTAATGGAGGCTGGCTGAGAGGAATTCTGTGTGAATTGTTGAGGTTGTGGAGAGTAAGATGATTGATGCGTATCAGACTGGAGGGGGAAAAAAAAAAGTACATATTTCTGATTAGTTAACTAACTACTGGTGGTTTTCTTTAATAAGCACCTACTGTATTAGACTATTCATAAAAAAGGCAAAGCACTCCCCAGCAACACCCCAAATACCGTGCCCAAGTTCCTGCTAATTTAAGTAAGTGCAGTTTGACTGACACTGATTTCCACCATCAGATAATTTGGTCTGTTAATGTGGAACACTCCACCATCAGAAACATCATTCCGAGCAAACAAGCCCCAAGCTCTTCATTAGACTCCTCACACTTCTCTTTCTGATTTTCAATCAGTGTCTTCCCCACCCTACTTACCTACATTGCAGAATCTCATTAACTAATTACCTTACTTCTAAATAGAGTAGTTCTTATTACTACAGACACTTTTTTAGTTAATTCCAAAGTAAGCTCCTAATTTCTTTACTTTTTATTTACTCTGTTAAACAAGAAACTGAAACTCCAAAAACCCAGTTTCAGCCTCCATCTCCTGATGTTAGCCACAGCTAAAGGCACAGAAATAGCAATGATTACAGCTTTTGCAGAGCTCTTACAAAGCTTTCCCTTTCACCAGAAACAGGCACAAGCCTATTTCACGTGTTTAGTATTGCAACTAAGCAGGGAGCAACTTCAAGAACTGGGAAGAGTTTCCCAGTTTATCTGCCAAAATTTATTACCGATGTGTGGACTAAGCTAACCCAGTTTTAAGCACTGAGACAAGATGGCAAAGGCATAAGACAGGTGCCTCCAAAGAATAATTCAAATGACAGACAGCTACCTAAACCAGAGATGATTGCCTGAATCTCAGATCTCAATCTCCCCCTGCAGTTGCTCGTCTCCCTCCACAGACTACAGCAGACAGCTAAGCTCCACGTAACTCAGCTGCTGTCAAACATTTGAAGTTAAAGGGCTCTGCAGTTTGTCACTATCTATGACTGCTCGCCTGTCTGTTTAAATTGTCAGACACTTTTCCTCAATAACCAGAGGTCTGCAGGACTTCCCCATGTCAGCCTTTCAGAGCATTCCTTATAGCAGCATGCTGTGTGTCTTTGCCTGGGCAAAAGCTAAAGGCCAGAAGCGGAGACTGCTCCCTGCTGCTATTCCAACTGTTCCTGTATGAGTGCCTCCTATGCCTTTCTGTCAAACCAGAAAGAGAAGGTAAAACCTGGCATTTGAAAGACAATTGGTTTAACAGTTTAAATGTTATAAAAAACACAGCACATGCACTGACTACAGCCTTCCTGCAAACATTAAACCACCACAAGCATGCACTAGACATGCCAGCAGCAGGAGAGGAGAAGTGTTACGCTCCAGCCCCTTGGTCCACTTCCACACTCTTACTTTCTCTTTTGACTCCCTCTTGCTCCACTAACATTCCCCCTTCCCACTCTCCTCAAACAATCCCTGGACAACATATATTCACTAAGAAGTCCCGGCCAAACGACAACCGTCCAACACACACACGGAGTCCATGACATCCAGATGACACAAGAATGTGCACATGCAGTAGGTCCAGTGTGCGTGATGTGCCTGACTGTGTGTGCACCCACGTGTCCAGCTTCAATTTCCCAAGCAGAAATACAAAGCTCCCAAAAAGCTACTCCTGTGTCATGTGAGAGCACAGTGACAGCTCAGCCCTTCACTTAAGATTAGTGCTGTATCAGTTCCCTCCTTAACAGCATATTATAGTAAAAATTGGGTCATGTCATCTCTGTTCCTGGAACAAACATTCCAATAGATGCTTGCTGATCAGTTACGATATTCTACAGTAAAGTAGAAAACTGAACAAAGAGCATTAGTGATCAGCAGACCTGATTACTATGTTTGCTTACTTGCCAGCTTCATTAGCAGGCACATTTCTCAGACTAATAGCTTAAAATTAATGACCTTCTGCTGCATTCTGTACTCCAACAGCATTAAATGCCATCAGCTGCATTTGCTCAAACATCCTTTGCTATCCATCTCCACTTAGAAGCAAGTTAAACATTCCATAAAGACTTGAACAAATTCTAAGAGAAAACTACCCAAAAATTCCCCATTGTTCTGTTTGTGCTTCTAGTGTGCTCTGGTATATATACACAGACTTCTGATTTGTGTATCACATCGATATTGAAGCATATGATTCATCTGTGTTCCCTGCCTCTTCATGACAGTTCTCTTAAACCACAGAGTACCTGACAGTTGCAAACCTAAGTCTCCAGCATGTTAACGATGAGCTATGCTTTACTTCCCTTTGTAACTCCAGAACATTGCCAGAGTAACTAAGCGCAAAAACCTTCAAAATGCACCCTAGCTTAAATCTCAAGGCCAGTGAAGCTCGCAATTCTGAAAGGCCACCTATCTCATATGAAACGTGACTATGTAGTTTCCATACTGAAAGACCATAAATGCTTTCCAAGAGACACTACATTACAAATCAAATCTACATTAACTGGCACAGTGCAATGCTGTCATCAAAAAGCCCAGAATCCGGTGAGAAAAAACTGTGCAAACCCATTCCTAGCATGGCCCGGGATTGCTGGTTTGCTACAGCTTGCTTACTTAAAACTATAGCTAATTGTAACTTACACATTCTGATGACTGTCTAGTGCGCAAGGGTCGTTCCACTTGCTGCTGACTCACAGCCACTAGCTGTGAATTTACCATGCTTCGGACCAACTGGGCGCCTAATCAAGGAACAAAAACGTTAATAAAAAACCCACAAGGTTGCAGATGACAGAATAACAAACACAGAACTGGGAGTCAGTGATACCTTAACTCTCACGTGATACAGAGTAGGTAAACTACTTTAATCTCTCCTCTCCTTTAAGCAGAAAGTTTTCCCTCTACTGGTAACAGCCGGCATTAATACATATAGCAGCTAAATCCAAAATCTTAATTCTAAGTAATACAAATTCTAGCATGAACAAAGCTCGCTTTGCCATCAGGCAGGAGTGCTACTTTATACAGGTTTCCATGCTATTGCCATAAGCAGTGGGATTTTAAGTAGCAAAAGCAACAGCAGAAACTTTTGGGCAAAGAAAGAGGAAAAAAAGAAAGAGAGAGAAAGAAAGGGACATCAGAATATAGAAGCAGCAAGGTTCTCTCTGAAGTTCATTTATGATTGCTTTCTCTAATTTTTGAGGTACTGCAGGCACCTAAGTGTCTAATTTGAATGGGTTTGCAACTAGACTTGTCTCTAATTACAAACAGTAATTTGAAAGATGGATCTAGCTTCCTAATGCATCTGTACGCTTTTGGAAGTGTTACTTTAAGACCACTGATTTTTGATGAAAATACATTTACTTACCTCTCACAGATGATGGAGGGTTAGCTAACATTTGAGAAACATTTGGAAGAGGAAATGCATTCAACTATTACTATTACTGCTACTCCTAAATGCACCCATTGTGAGTAGAAGGCAATGCAACACCACTATACTCACTGCTGAGTATATTTTTACCACCCATGCAGACTGTACTTCAGCAGGCATTACCCTCTTGAAGAAAAGCCACACTTAAGACTAAAAGCTGTATTTGCAATGACTGAAATCATTAGTTGCAGAAATTGTTTAAGATAATTACCAGGTCTGTATAGAAACCTAGAGAGAACTTTAGAACTTTCAAATTATACTAACATCACATAAACTAACTTACCCGGCACACTATTATTTCTCTGACGGGTTTGTTTGAATTCAGGGCAATCTCTTCTAACATGACCCACATCCCCACAGATGAAACACCTTTTCTCTCTTGTTTCTCTATCTTCTTCTTTCACTTCTTTTTCATCATCTTTCTCATTCTCCTTTTTCTTCAACCTGAATAATAATTTTTATTAGCAATATCACAAAACCACAAATAAAAAAAGTTTCTGTGGAGTTGTTACATTGGTGTGTTCAAAGGAAATGGATACATAACCAACAGCTGTACCAGAGTACAAATATCTTGGGAATCCCAGAAAAACACTTTCAGAATCTGGGCTACTTAACAACCTGTTTGGATAAACTTAACAAACTTAGAAGCTCCCCAGAATTGTTCAGAAGCCATCTGACTGTTAACACAGAACTGTATCTGCAGTTAAGTAGGCTTAGCCTGCCAGTTAGTTGGCGAGTAGTTCTATGCAAGAATCCCACTGAGTCAGAATATACACAAAACCTCCTCCAGACAGGGGATGGCATATTTCTCTATAGGAGTTCATTAGCATCCTGAGCCTAGACAGGATGTGAAAGAAAGGACCGAGGCTCTTTCAAACCCTCAGTACTAATACAACAAACGGGAGAAGAACTACTGATCAGGAACTACTACTGAAGTAGTAAATTCAAGAGAAGTCCTCTGTGGCCTCTTCTCCCGAGGCAGATGTAGGGGAAGAAGTGATGCAATTCAACGTGCTAGTGTTTGTGAGGAATATGTTAAGGGGGCGGCTGAAAGAAATGGTCAGCCTGTGACCTTAGGGTTCCAGTCCAGTTTCGTGTATCTTGAACTCTGCTGACTAAACAAAAGGCTGTAAATAAGGACTTCGTAGCAGGAAAAAACCAAGAATCTTTTGAAGAACTACGGAGCACACAACTGGACATAAGGAGTAAATGAGAAAGCCCAGACTTTAGACTGCATTCTAAGGGCTTCAACAGGTTTTATGAGCAAGACAAGCTATACTGGATGGGTCATTAAAAATCCAAAGATGTAAAAATGCAAGGAGTGCACATTCTCTGTCAATTCCTGCTAAGCTCTCTTTGGAGACACTGACCTGCATATACTAGAGACTACTTTTGCAGGAGTACTGGAACCAACACTTATAAATGTAATTAATGTACAAGTGAAAGATCAGTAAGTGACTGGCACTAGTATAATGTTACAGATATGCACCTTAACTATGTACATTTTAACTACTCCTAGATTTTAATAAATAAACTTCTACCTGCCTTGCAGAGGTACGTTACCAGATCTATAGAACGATTCAGATTCAACACTGTCTTCTGAACATGATCACTACAGGAAATCCATTTTAATACATTACAAATTGTGCAGTCAGGTAATATGGTCTCCATCTGAATGTTTACACTATAAAAAGATAATTCAGTGATCTAAATTTTAAGGTAAGCTGTAACTACAGATAGATCACAAAGTACTAATGTATTATATAGACTGTTGATTTTACTCTGTGTGCTTGCATAAACACTCTAGATTTAAAGAGATGACCGGAAATAGTCTCGAGAAAAGCAAAAACAGGATGGGATGTTGAGGATCAGATACAAAGCCTTAATTTTCTCTGCCATTCAGCATATTCTTCACTTCCATTAAAATTTCAAATATCCAAATATCTCCTGATTTAATCTCAAAGATTTTATGTTAGCTTTGTACATTACTTACCTCCTCCTCTTTGGACAGTCTTTCATGTAGTGACCAATTTTTCCACAGACACGACAACATCTGTCATTGGGTGCCAATTCCCCATCTGTCAGCACTTTTGAGTCAAAGAAGTATTCCTATCAAAACACATCAGACAGATACAATATATAAACCATTCATTTACAAGACTGAGAAATGAAAGCAAAACAGACAGCATTAAACTCCTGTTGTTCCCTAAATTTTACTACTTCTTAGAATATACTTAGTCCTTTTCTTCCCCTAGATAATGGCAGCTTTTTCAGAGATGTGGAGCAGTTTGGCCTAAAAAGGTGTATTTAGTCTTAGGGCCAGAGGCTGAATTTGCAGAACAGCTTATCCAGGCTTCAGCCTGCTGCCTACCTTCCACTTCCCCAAAGGCTCTTCAGAGAGCAATTTTTTGCATATAATCTATTTTGGTATCTGAGTCACTGCTTGTATGCTTTCTGAAGCAGCCATGTCCCTTCCCAGATGACATGATTATATCCCCCTAGACAGAACAAAGCTCAGGTGGGAAACAGATGGAGCATGTGCACACTGACCTGTATCACTCCCTTCCCCTGGAATTTGCAAAGGACAGCTGCAGTTCTGATGTGTGTCAGTGCAAAGGCCACAGTTTACAGCCTCTGAGCAACATAAACATTGTGAAAGTACTATCTTGCCTGAAAGATGAAATAGAGGTACAAATAGAAACGTCCTAACCCCAGCTTGGGAACAAAGTCCTATTGTAGACAGGTAATTTACTGAACCATTTCGCTACAGTTTCCGCTCTGTGCCACTAAGCTGCAATACAGGGCATTGGCTTAGGAAGGAGATTGAAAACTCCTCCTTCGTTGGGCACTTTGGAGAAATAAAACGCTATGTAATACTATTGGCATTACTGCCTTCACATAAGAGATAGCTCATGTGCATGGTAAGGCTATTTTCTGTTTTGCCTTTTATCCTTATGTAAAATGATCTGTCTTATCTCAGATTTTCACTGAACAACACAAATGACTACACGTACAAACACACAGTATGTGCTTTCCAGAAGCACTATAGCCTTGTGTTGAACATGTAGGCAAACAGTTTAAAACCCCGAACTAATTAGCAATAATACTTATGACATACACTCACACATTTGTCAGTTTCAAATAACTACATCCACACTATAATTCATTATTATTTGTATCACAGCAGTACTCAAAAACCCTGTTTTACTAGGCATAGCACAAAACAGAACACAGCCACTGCACCAAAGAACATTTAATACAAAGTCAGAAAAAAACACAGATAAAGAAATGGAAAAGAGAAGACAGGAAAGGATGAAGGGAAATAAAAGCTTTCAGAGGATTTTTTAAATCCCTCAGAAACACAAACCCTGTTGAAAGCCATTGGGAGAACAGTCCTTTAAACTGTCTTAGAAAATTCCTTTCTAAGTAGATGTTAAAAATACTAATTACAGATTATTTATTTATTAAAAAAAAAAAAATAGTTCTCTATTACACATTGCTGACTGGACTCTGTAGCACAGAGGAGTACTTTCTCTAATATGATGTTGCATGAACACATTCCTCACCCTGATTCACTATGCAAATTTTGAAGGTCAACTGATAAACCAAAGTTGTTCATCATCCTTTTCCTTCCTTAAGCAACAATTCTTACTTTCCCCACAAACTGGAAAAATAAGTAGAATGTAACATCCCGTAAATCTGTTTTCTTTTTCTTTAGACATTAACAGCTAGTAAAGCTCCTGAAACTGTTTCTGGGGTTTATAGCTGGTTTTGCAGTTTTCTGCAATACTTAATGTCACACAACAAAAAGTTTATAAAAAACAAAACCAAAACCCAAAATAAGCTTACTTTCCCCAAACCTGCCAAAAATACCCATCACCCATCCAACTACTCCTGTGCATTTTATATTGCAGGAGCCCAATACTAAGCTGTATGTTTTATGCAAATTATGTATAATTACATATATTATGCATACCAAATTGATAAATACATACAGGAGATTTTGCTTTGGATGCATCAATTCAGAGGACGAAAAAAGTAACAAACATACTAAAAGCTAGGAAAACTTACAGCTTCTCTTCCAACAGTTGGGTAGAATGGGGTACCAAATAATTTTCTCCCATTGATAAATGCCTTCATTATGAAATTGGTCACTATTGAAGAAAGACAAAGTTATTGGAAAACAACAGAAAAGGCAAAACACTTTAGAAAACAGTGAATGTGAATCATTAGTAGACATGAATAGCTTACTTTTCCTAGAGACTCCAGCACCGAGATTATGATTCAAGTCAAAAGGATCTGTGTAAAGAAGCGACAAAACCAAATCAGAGTTGGAAAAAGATATGCTGCAACAAATTTTTTTTCTTTTAACACAGAGAATTCCACTTTAAATGCACTCACAGAGTAGATGATAGCAGAGCAATACTAAGGGTTTTCAAAATATATACTAACCATATATAAAAAAAAATTTATTACTAATCTAATAAAGTAAGAGCAATTTACTGACGGATACTAAAACTGAGGAGTCTAATCTCATTTTGTAAGCTGTAGGACTTGCAAAAAATGCTTTTTTTTAAAATATTGATGGTAGTTCGCTCACATAAAGATCCTGTGCAACAAGGAGAACAGATCCTCAAGCAACTGTGTTCATCACTCCCTCAATCAACCAATAAAAATTTGGCAGATAAGTACCTTCAATGGCAATACATTTGGATGTCCACTGTTTCTCAAATGTAGTTAACAGCTTCTTCTGCCGGATGCTGATCACATATTCCTTGAAGTCAAATTCTTCGGTGTAGAATCGCAGCAACCCTAGCCAGAGTTCTCCAAGTGATTCAGTGTTCTTTCCAAGAGAAGGCAGACGCTTCTTCTGCATGCAATTGAAGACACAATTTATTCAGCTACAGTTACTGAAATACTTCTCCTCCCCCTCCTCCTCCTGAACTACATCTCCAACTATGAGTTTCACTGTTAAAGTTGAATCACTACTGTTAACACTACATCTGTTCTGGAGTGTTTATAAAGAGTTAAAGGTACTTTTCCTGATTTATGTTATTTAGAAATTATTTAAAATAAACCAAGAAAAAGCAGACACTCATTTCAGCAAAACAGGACTCATATGGGAAGTTTCAGTAATACGGATACAGAAGTTCAACTACTCTTTTATATATTACACTGTTAGAAATGTATTACTTTTCCATAAAAACAAGCTTTAAGTTTCAGTGATTCTTCTGGAATTAGAATATTACCAGTTCTTCCATGTCATCAAAGAAAAAGGCATTCCATCCATCCACCATTCTTTGTGGAATCTGTTTTCCATCAAATATCTGCCGTAATAGAGAGGGCCACAGTTACCACTCTAATTCAAAGTCATCATAAAAGACTTGCAATTTTGCTGGTAAGACATAATATAAAAATATAAATCTTTCAATTTTAACAGTTACTTCTTATATATGCAGAATTTCCCATTGGTAAAAAGTTTGAAAGTCTTTTTGCATTATTGCTACACTTATCTCAAATTAGTTGGATATTTATTTTTACTTGTTCTTTGCAACTAAGAAAACATGACTGAATTACCTCATCGAGATTCTGACATCCCTCTTGCCCACAAAATCTCTAAGGAGACTTTATATGACTCCTATCACATTTTGACTTCAGCAAAGCCAAGGGGAAATTCCACTGGTAGTTAAATGCACTCTCAGGGGAGCAATAAAACCACCACCCCCAACCACTACTAAAGTATCAGCAAGAAAGTCTGAGTCTAAACTGCAGAGCTTAAGCCAATTTTCCTTTTACAATGCAGACAACAAAAAAGACAGAAAGGGGTAATTTTCAGAAGTGCTTGGGAGTTCCAGAGGGTATCCAGGAAGAGGTAGACAGCCAACTAACTATATTCTCCCACCCACGCAATGGAGGTACAGAATGTTATTTTCTTATTAAAGTTTCCCGGAAGATGTAAAATAACTATCTTTAAAGTTGTACCAAAACATTAGTTACTTTTTTTTTTTTCCTCCCTCACCAAATCATAAAATAAACTTTTTCTCTTACAGATAAGGTGTTGAGCAATAAATAGTGCTTCTGACAATAACTGATGGAAGAGCTGGACTCATGTCTCAAGAGCATCTGGCACAGTCTCATAATTACAACTCCCTTCTCTCCATACCACCTGCCAATTTCTTTTTCTATTCTGTTCAGCATATAAATATCATCATGAAATCAAAATCCCAAAGTAAATGTAACAACAGAACTTAAGTCAAACGGATTCTCATTTTATTGCAATTTTCTTGATAAGTTCTACCCACTAAAACCAAGCGGGGGTTAGAAACCTGCTAATGCAGAAGAGCCCCATACTTCATTCATCCCCCTGATCCTAAGAGCCCAGACTTCTCATGTTTGACTTGAAGAAACAGTGCATGTATTTTCATAGCCTTTTCTTCCAAAAGCCTACCTCCTGAAGAACTGGAATAACTGGTGGATTTCTCTGCTGTAGAAAGTACAAAACCATAAGAATATAGGCATACGAAGACAGACTACCACGGGATGCATCACCAATATCGCAGCGCTGAAAAGATACATTTTAAACAAAATACTGAATTTACATTTTATTATTCAAGACTAACAGCTATGTCAGAGAGCAAACAGAAACCCCTAGTAACAGAAAATACATTCATCTCATAACTAAAAATTGTTTTATGCAGCCTGAAAAATAAATGTCCTTAGAGTAAAGTGCCATCTGGCAAATCCACAGCATAACTTCACTAACATAAAACCAGAAAAGCATCTCATACCCAAAATATTTTTTTTTTAAATTTATAATGCGCCAAATTGAAAAAAGAAAACCCAATTCACAACCCCCAAACCAGATATCCCAACAAACCTCCACATCTGATGCCCAGGTTGCAACACTGCAAGATTTAATTTTCTTATTTCTTACTAATTTTTTTAATTGGTGTCTAACCTTTCTACAGCACCTGCTTCTAAGCTACCCTTTGCTTCATGCATGTGTCATAACAAACAGCACATTTTAAATCTCCTAGGTTTGGAAAAAACAGGGATTCACAAATTACTTTCATATTAGCAGCAGCAGTGACAGCTATTCCTGTTTTTTCTGCCAAGCATTTTGCTTAAACACAGAGTATTTGTATACCTACGAAGTCACCTCCATATGTATACATTCAAGAGTGTATGTCCCACAATTTAGAAACTTGGTCTTTACAGTAAGATTTTTAGAATGTATACAATAGTTGCAATACTACCAAAAAAAAAAGTAAGATTCATTATTATCAACACAAGGCATTTTTAATCTGGGCACAGAAGAGACATGGCAATATTCTGTCCTACCGTGACCACACCCCAAAAAAAAAAAAAATATCATTACTGGTCCTGGTGACAGTATAATGAAAATGTAAATTCCACTCTGAAACAAAGTTATTTTATTCATCTTGATACATTTTATTACATTAGCATCTGGTAGCAGGATAACTCTCTGTAACCAGTTCTAGTTGCCCCTGTTTCACTAAGCTTGGATGTGTTTGGGGAGTATATTTAAGAGTGCAGCTTGAATAAAAACAAACACCATGTTGCAATTATCAAAGGCTGTATAGTATAATACTTTGTTAGAATAGCATAAGAAAAAAAAAAAAAGAGGCAGGAGATTTCGTATTTGATATTTCCAAACTCTTGAAGCCAAGTGTATGTCCTAGGCACATCAAGCAGCGACTTAGGTAGTCATTCCTCAACCCATACCTACTCCTGACTTTGACAGTAAGTAAAACAAGGCAAGCAGGCCAGAGGAAAGTCACAGTAATCACTAGGCTGGTCCTAGGTAAGGAAACTTGGGAAGCCCGTGCACAGCCACATGTCCCTACATCTTACAGTCACTATTTTTTCCAGTTCTGTTTGTTGGGTTTTTTTTTTGCATTGTAGCTGGTTTGACATGGAAAACAATGAAAGTTTTCCTTTCATCAGCTTCCTCTTAGACAGAAATCTTTTAACAGCAGAAGATACCAGGACTAATGATTCTGACACACACAATCAGGTGGAGCACAGTCAGATTAAGAACGTGCACTTCATATGAGTAGCACTCTACTGTCTCCTTTTCAGTTGGTATTACGAAAAGGTAAACTCAGTGGCTGTATCAGAAAACACAGTATCATACAAATAAGTACCTTCTGTTTATATTACCTTTGCAAAAACTTTCATTGTATAGCCCAGATACTGCACTCTAGGATCAATAGCTGCATATGTAGCCAGCATTCTTGTGTTATGCTGTGCCTGGGAAAAGGGAAAGAAAGAAAGAAAAAAAAAAAAAGTCAAACAGGTGTTTCAATGTACTTTATGGTTAATTATAGTACAGTCTGCAGTTCAAGCACAGGAGATGCATATTACAATGGGAGGGCAACAAATCACAACAATATTCCGTAAAATTCAGGCAACATTTCCTGCACAAACATAACTGAAAGGTGTAATCAGGACAGTATTAATCCAGTAACAATAGTAGGAACCTTGCAAAACACCAGCAAAGAAGTAAGTCCGTAAGATGACTCATATTGGAACAAATTCCACAGGTGAATGTGAGACCATTACAAAAGAAATCATGCAATTTCATTGTGCTAGATGTAAGCTGAGATGTACTATTCATGATGGCAGAAAGGCGATGGAGAATGTGGCACTAACAGCTTTTCAGGAGCATTCACAAAAATGCTTTGTGGGCCATGACACTGCTCTGTCATCAGGTTATACAGCTACTTGGGTTGGGCTGTGGGTGTGGGCCACTGAATTTAAACAATGTAGAAAAAAAACCCAAACAAACACACAACAGCATTTTGATTCTGGTTTCAAAGTTATTCCCTCAAATGATTACTTGAGTGAGTTACAACGAATTAAAAAGCTTTCATTGAACACAAAATCAAACACAAACAGATGCTTACCAGTGTATTGTATAAACTGATATCTCCTTCTAAACCACTTCGTCTGTGTTCAAATTTTACTATAGGCACTTTGGCTGTTGTTATAGGCAAGATGTTTCTCAAACCTGGGGAAGGAACACTTTAGTACATAAAACATTTCCATTAACTACATATATAGTAAGTGTAAATACAAAACAAGTAATACTTCAACACACCTACCTGGGTGCTTCTTAAGAACTTTTGCCAAACCTTCTATTATTTCTTTACAATTTAATTTCTAGGAGAAACAAATATCACAGCTTCAGATGTTGAAACATGGGTCCTATCCCAACAAGCACATTTACTATCAAATGTGTATTTAATGGAGGAAAATTCTATGCACAAAAAGAAGTAAGCAATAAGCCAGCACATTAATTTACGTAAAACTGATGACTCCTATTCTGTATATGGACATCTACAGTACACTAAATGTGCATCTATAGGGCATTAAAAGTGAAATAGGCTATACCTTGCTTCAGTTGTGCAGACTGCAACAAGCCAATGTGCTACTAGCAAAATCTTACCTTTTTTGCGTACAAAAACCTTAACTCAATTAAAACCCCTTAAAGAATTCTTCAATTTAAAACAGTAAATTTTAACCATTTCAAAATTCTTACCTCTGCATTTTCATGGCCTTCCAACGTCATGCAGATATCTAGATCACTGTCCCGAAATCCAAATCCATTCTTTGAAGAGCCAAACAAGCAAAGTCTGGCTTTGTCTGATCAGAAAAGCAGACCAAAAAGAGTTGAATGGTGTTTACTATGGAATATTGCTTAACTGAGATGTGTAGATGCCCATAAAATATGAGCTTTAAGAGAGAGCTTACAATGTCACTTCTAAGACTTCACCCTTGATAAAGGAGGAAGCCAAGGACTTTAAAAATTCTTTATAGAAAGTAAGGCAGGATAAAGCCCATGTAATTTTTATGAGTGAGGTATGTTGCAGTTACTATAACCACCAGATGATATCTCTAAATATGGTGCAGTGTTTAGAGGTATGCAATGGCACTTTCCTATTTTAAATAAATCAAAATAATGTGCGAATCCAGGCACCAGTACAGCTTTACTCCAGAGATAAAACAGAGCTACTCTTAAGGTAGTTCAAGCAATATTTCTGGTTCCACTCATACTTATCTAGGTTGCTTATTTTTCCTCTGACTAGGTAAATTTGGGCAATCAGTAAGTTTCTGTAACCATAACATAGCGTTCAAGAAGATACAAGCAGTAAGATTAATATACTTTATGGTACATTCTTTCCCAATTGTTTTGTTTACATTTTTGTTTGAAACACGGTATTATAATGTATTTTCATTCTTGCAAAGAAAAGCAAAATTACACAACTGAGAGGAAGCAATTTCTTCATAACTGAAAACATTACATTTGTCTGTTCAACTGAAATCAATTCTAGGAAAATATACACAATATCTATTCACAGCTTTTTCCTAACCGTTAATAAAATTGGAAATCTTAGGTCTTCCAAGGTTCTGTAACAGGTCTCAACCCTCAGCTGCTGCCAGTAAGAGGAGGACACAGCCAGTGGATGGAAGTGCAATTCACAGTTCCTTGATCACAGGCCAGCTACAGGGGAACTGATGGCCTTCAGTGTAAAGCAATGGACTGGAATTCAGGAGACCTGGGTTTGGTACCTGGCTCTAGCACTGTTTTACACCACCTACAAAAAAATCACTTTGTATCTCTGTGCCTTGACTTCCACCATTGTAGTAAGATACTTTTGCCTATTTTATAAAAGGGATGTGAAGATAACAAACTCATTAAGATTTTCAAGATACTTAAGCACTGATGACTAGACAACAAAAGTACTTGGCCTGCAACCCAGGTAACACTAAACCCAACTGGCCAGGGCCTATTCAGACTTTCTTTTTGTTCTGACTGTAATAGTTCTGTATCTGCATTATGACTCTTGCAGCTCTTCCTCCATTCTACAGACATTTCCACAGAATAGCACTGAGGGATGTTCAGTTTAGAAGTCTGCAAAATAGCTTTACACACAGAGGGAAAACAGATGCCACTGTTTTAAGCAAGGAAAATGAGCTATAATGAGACAAATTACATGTTCATGCTCTGCACAACATAAACGAAGAATGCATTATCAAGAATCACTACGTATTGTTACATACCATTATACTCTTTTCGAATAAATCTTTCCAAACTTGCCAGAATTTGTTCTCTGTTTTGTTGCTCAGACAAAGGAGGGGATAATTCATCTAAATAAAAACAAGTTAAAAGACAGTCAAATGTGACATTCAGCTACCTCAAAAATCTTTTTCAGCTAATTAAAACTATTGGATACCTTTCTTTGGTTACATTTACTTCCCTCAAATATGAGTTTTTCTTTTGTTATGATATCATTAGAGTTGTTAGGACTTTATTTCAGACGTCTGATTTTTATTCAAATACAGAGAGGCTTGGTGGGCACCTGGTGTCGAGCCAAGGTTAACCCACCAAGACACCCAAAAGAGGCTTTTTCCGAAAGAAGCCATAGAATTTGACAAACACAAAAGCTAATTTTGCCCAGAGCCTAACTTCCAGGAAAACTGGTAACTTTTTACAAAACCAGTGAAAAATCCTATATAGTATTAGTTTCTCAAATAATTTGGTATCACAACCATGGATTATATGAAAATAAAAATACTGATCAATTTGTAGCCTAGGGTACCTGGAAGATCTTCTTTCAAAAGAATTTACTATAATAAGTAATTTAACTCTACAGGTTTGGGTTTTTTTCAGATAAAAGACCACATTTTACAGCAGAGTACAAACACTTTTCCAACTTACCGAAACATCTTTTACACACTATATCAAGTATTTCCCGAAATCTGTCTGTCATTGGTGGTAGTGGTTTTAGATCAATTTTCTTGAAATCCTCTGGGCAGTCATTTTTGGAATGTCCATCCCGTTTGCAGATGCTGCATACTATAGTTGGTGGCTTTTGGGAATAAAAAAAAAAAAAAGAAAAAAAGGTGCACAAATGCAATTTTACTTTTAAGATAGTTCAACAGACCTAACATTGCCATACAGGTCAAGCAACCAAGAACTTTAACACATCAACAGAGTCTCTACAAAGAACAGAACAACTCTCAACAGGTTGCATTTAGTTCTTACAATGCATAAGAGCACCTGGAAATTCTACAGGAAACTAGGAGAGGAAGGGGTGGGGGTAACAAACACAAAACCACCAAAAAACAAATGCCAGGACTATTTCTTTTTTCTTGTGGAAATCCAAGTTTCACATAAGATGGAGGCAACAGACTATCTAGTCCAAATGGCATACAGGTTTGGCGTTTTCCAGTCCTGAATAACAGGTACTCTAAAAAGGCTAGAGCTACCATTCATAACAGAGACTGAATAAAATCACTGGGAGAATTCCGTCATTCATCCACCCTTAGTTTTAGTGATCTAAAGGCAATAGCCCACTGATACATGACCAGCATTGCTTAAACACACAGCTTACCTTTCCTGAAGTCAAAATAAACTTATCAAACACATAATGCATTTCTTCTGCAGAGAGTCTCCCTTCATCTTTGAGATCATGAGCTTCCACCATTGCTTTGCAGTTGGGCGAGGTAGCTGGTGTGCCAGTGCACTTACTCTTCTGAGAAGACTCTGTTACCAAACTCTGTCTACTTTCAGCATCAGAAAATTCACTACTAGAATTTGTGTCATAGGGCTGACGTTCACTGCAGTTACAATGGTGGCTTAGCTCACCTTCAGTTATACAAACTGAAATTCCTAAATCATCCCTTTCTTGAAGTGATTTCTGCTTTAATTCACAGCATTCATTAGAAATAAGGGATAAAGCTTCTTCTTTGTCTTCATCATAACTAGAGTCCAATGTTGCAAGTAGCAAAGAGTCTATGTTCTTGGAAGTACATCTTTTGGCTACAGCTTCTACCACTTCATTACATTCAAGTTCATTCTCTGGTATGTTACATCCAGTTTCTATATTTTGTTTATCTACAACTTTTTCCCCTTGTGGAAGGCAACAGTTGGCTACAGGCTCTTCAGATCTTGTGGATTTCTTACTATTAATTTTCCCTTTTTCTTTTTTCTTGGTATCTGGCTTGGATTTAATCCCATCTTTACTTTGTGGACATGCAAAATATTTATATGCTGTCCTAAATCGCTCCAGGATGTACTCAAATACCATCTGGCTATTTAGACTTCGTGCAACATTCCTCTTTAGTGCAAAAGGATCTAGGAAGAAAAACAACAATTTCATTAGTAATCTTTAATTTCTACATTTCACTAAAGCAGCTGAAATACCTAAGTTATGATACAGCAGTTAAAAAGAGATTCTCATAATATAATCCAGAATTGTATTTAGATATACTTAAGAGTCCAAGGGTTTTTGGACTTCTTCCATACAAAACACAACACACGTGGCCATGAATGGCTGGCTATCACAAACCATTCTACGTAGCATTATTTAAAAAGAAAACCACAGGTATATTGACCATTCTATTATGGTCAATTTCTAAACTAGAAATGAAAATAAACATACAAAGGCAAAATAAATGTCGGCTTGCCTGAACTTTTTTCCTTCACTGAACAAGGATTTGCATTTCCCCTAAGAAATTAATTCCTCTAAGAGCAACATTAAGGTTATAAGGATTATATGAACCAATCTCACCAGGTTTCATTCTTAGTCCTTCCTAGCGATTTCTAGATCAAACATGTTTTCCAAGTAAAAAGAGCACTTGCATAGTTGCTCTAAGTTTGCCTGGGAAGATAGTATCAAACTGAGATTCTGTTACTTCATAATTTCAATTACAAACTTAACATCAAAAAAAAAAAAGTCAAAAATTAAAACCAAAAAACCATAACAAACAAAAAGACCAACAACAGCAGGCATCAGAACAAGAATTCAACCTGGTTTTTGAAATTATTTCCCGTTTCTTCCTCAATAATTTGCCCTTTCATCTTACAGGTTTGATCTTCCCACATGCTGAATAAACACTTCACTAGTTTTAAAACTCTCTAGCTAAAAGCGACCGAAGAAAGAATTGGGAGATTAAATTAAACCCACAGGAGCGATCTCAAGACCCACTACTCAACATGTGCCTCAACAACTCATTGCTTGTTTTTCTCCTTTTTACTTTTCCTTCTTGCTTTTCTTGTACCTTACCAACTCATCCTTCCACATACCTCTAGTAACTCATTCTCTGTCTCTATGATTCTCTTTGACCTACTTCTTGTCTTCTCCATTACTTCCTGTGTGTTACAGAAAGCTACTTCATCAACATATCTAGAAAGTGTCCAAAATTAATTTATGCTTTTTAAAAAGTATTACCTTAAATGGTTTCTTAACTTTCTTCAAATACCCAATTTCTCTGTTCTTAAGGCCAATTCAGAATGCCATGCATTGCTCTGTAGCTTGCCCTGTTAAATACTGTTTACATATTTTTCTGAGTTGAGGAACAGAAATAAAGATGTCTTCCAGTTATAAAGAAGTAATAGACAAAATAATTTTCTTTCTTTCTCTCCCCCACATATATAACTCAGGGTATGCATTATCATCAAATTCACATGGTTGCTGTCCCTGGAAAGAACATTTCCCTTGGCAGGATATTCAAGCCCTGAAGCACAGCCTATGGCACAACATTCAGTTTCACAGTATGGAAATACTACCAACACGGGAAGGGACACGGGAGGGTGCTTGCGGGGGGCTGTTGTGTGTGTGTTACTTTGATGGATTTGCTCCAGTTCACATTGATCAGAACTAACCTCTCTGCTCAGTCTGCATTAGAGTCAGAAAAAACAAACTGATAGCTGGTAACACTCAAAATACATTGTGGTTTTTGGAAACGCAGCTAGAGGTGCTGAAAATTAATAATATCAGAATTATTAAAAAAGAATAAATGGCTTATAGAAAGAATGAAACAGAGACAGAAATAAGACCAGAATGGTAAGAAACAGTGAGACAAGTTTACGGTCTGCATTTCAAGAACGAGAGTTGCAAAAAGTACTACTAAACAGAAAAAAAAAGAATTACTTTCTCCTCCAATTATTGATTTAATTTATTGTCCAGACTTCTTGTAACAGACCTGTAAGTATTAGGTAAATAAAGATAATAATGCAGGATGAATACAGAACTAGAAAAGGGTATTATCCTACCTTCAATGGCTATTCGCCTTTTAGGCCAGTTTTTATTCTCTCTGGTTAAGAGTTCTTGTACCCGTATGCTGATGACGTATTCCTCCAAAGCAAATTCCAGTGTGTAAAACTTCAACAGTTCTAACCACAGTTGCCCCAGTGAAACTTGGTGAGGGGTTTTGAATGCTAAGAGAGACTGAAACACATGGACAAGAATGCTCAACTGCAACAAGAAATGAAAATTATCTTTTTTTTTTTTCCTGGTTCCATCCAATATTAATGCTTGAAGATAAAAAAACAGGGCTAAGAGACAGAATATGGTTTTCAGTTAAATAAAGCCATGACTTACACTGCCGTGTTTCTCCTTTGCATTACTTTGGTTGTCCACTTCCGAGCTTGTTGTCTTCTTGCCACCACCTTTTTGTTGTTCAACTTTAGTTTTACTTTCTGCTCCAACTGAGTTTTTTGCTGCACCATTTGTTGGTGGTTTGTACTCCCACCGTACAAACTCCTCTTCTATACCTTTCAGCTGGTGGTCATCTGGCCTCTTCGAATCAAAGCCTTCAATCTAACAACAATTAAAGTAGCTCTAAAACAAGACTGTATATAACACATACAACCAAAAGTTTTCACCAAAGGTGACACTGACAACTCTGGTATTTATCCCCCCTCAAGAATAACTGATGTCAGAGAAATAAATTCAGAGAGTTAAAGAAGAAAATATTTGCCTTTTCTCCAAAATACAGCATGAGACAATTGCACAGGCTATAGCAGCTGCCTTTTTTCAAAAGTCATCAGAATCATTAGGCTTCAACTGTGTGAGGATGAAGTGCCAGTATGTTTTATTCACAAATTTCTTTGGCAATCGAATTCTGCACATTCTATGACCTTGCAGAGCACAGAAATAATGCCAACAATTTAACAATAAGGTTAGTGTATTACCAAATCACTTACCCAGTTGCCCAAATAGGATGGTAAAATATGTGGTTTTCTTTGCTGAAGAAAAAATATCACCATTAAGGCAAAGGAATATGAGGGAATCCCACCTTCGGCCTGACAGTCAATGTGACAGAGCTGTAAGAGAATAAACCATTACTTTTCTGATGTAACATCAGCATTTTAATTTAAAATCTATTATAAAAGGACACACATTAAAGAAATGTGAGATACATACTAGAGTGAAACAGAAAATCCTTTATCTCAGAAACTGCAGTCGTCATGCCATGCCACATACAGTCAAAATGCAAATTATAGTCATTCGTACAGTGCCTTAAGTTATACTGTTTTACTACATCTTATTCTCTTCAGTTTCATCACATTTTGTGATTGTGGGACACATTTATATTCCTATCTAGAATTTCAGGCAACTATCAGGTATTTGTCACTGTGCGATCTCTCATGTGCGGAGATGGGGATTCTATGCATCTGGCTGTAATCTGATACTGATCTCTCCTATGGGAACTCACGAGAGATGTAATAAACCTACCAGACTTTGTACAGTTCTTTGTAGTTTCTACTGCTGTTTATATGCTGTAAACCAGGAATTTTTCTAAAAACACCTTGCTAAATCAAGCAACAATAATAATACCATGCAACTGATTTTTCAATAAAGCCAAAACATCATAAGTGAAGTATGGCCTGGCAGCAATCAGGACCAAATTACAGGACAATTAAACACTGGCTGTGAACATTGTAACTTGGTGCCTGTGATCACTGTTGATGTCTGTAAGAAGTACAGCAGGGTACAACAACAGACCCTTTTTTGAGCAAGTTTATTTTTTTCAATGTGACCTCAATAGCAGAAAGTTTGCAAGATCCAATTGCTCTGTTGAGCTGGTTTTCAAGGATCAATTAACTAATTTTAAGAAATTAGGGTAACAGCTTGCTAACAGAATAGTGGAAGCTTCATATGTATTTACAATTTCACAGCAAAACGTTCAGTCTCATTCTGGCCTGTTAAGATCAGAGGTGAACTAGTGGCATGAAGTTCTTTTCTACAAACGTATTCATGGCATATTAATCATTACATTGCATGCAGTACTTCAAGAGAGGAAATAGACATATTTAATTAACCTCAATATTTATAAACTTACTCTAGCCCAGTAGCGGAAAGCCAAAACCAAGGGAATAAGGACAGGCTCCAGTTTACCAAGTGCAGCCAGCAGGTCAGTTGTAAGGCAAGCCACATCATTTCTAGCACTTACTTTACATGTCAAACCACTGCAATTACAAATGTAAAAGAGAGAAAAAGTGTTACAGCCTTGTGTATATAGATGAAGCTTGAGGTAGGGGGGAGGTAGGACATCACACCCACCATAATAAAAACGTGCATCAGTGTCCTCCTATGTAAGAACTTGGAACTTTTTAAACAAAAGATACAGAATGTAACAGTTCCTTTACTATTAACTCATCAGTTTGATCTAGAACTTAAAGTAAGTTCATTACAGCTAAAAATATAAAACAGCACTAAGAATGTGCTCTAAATTCTGCCACTACTTAGCTGTTCAATCTCCCACAACTCAAACTCCATGTATTCCTTCCACATATGAAATAAATAAGTAAATACATACATACATACTCCAGGTCTGCTGCATATTAAGAATTACAAGTCCACAAAAGAGCTTCCCTAAAAGCTTTCGTTTTGTATCTCAGAGTAACTATTTGTATTCTCTTAGTATTTACAAGGCATTTGCATAATCTACAAACACAGGAAAAGATACGCCCACCCTTGTTGCATTTACTTCCCCAGAGTTTCAACCACATACCGCTAGCCAGTCAAAGCAATGTGGACATTGTACAGCAATCATGTTTCATTTTGGAGGTTGCTACTTCTTAGGAATTTACTGAAACTGTCAGATGATGTGTCCTTTCTGGCAATGTGTATCTTATAAAATGTTTTTAAAGGCTTGGATTAAACCACTGGCAGAAATTTTAAATATCAATAGAAAACCATTCCACTTCTCCCCTATTTAACTAAAAGTAGAATTGGCCTTTTCAGACTCCTACAATTAATGAGCTCTATATCAAGTACAAAACAAATATAAGCTTTCTCTCCAGATTGTATTTTTCATGTATGAGTGTCCTGGTTTTGCTGGGATAGAATCGTAGAATCAATTTTCTATTCAGGAAAGCTGCACTTTTGAGAGTCAGTGAGAACAAAGCTAGTAAGACACTTTGGTTTTGTTTGTGGCCAGCCTGGTATGCAGGTCTCCATAGTGATCAAGGTCTTCAGCAGTTTCAAGTTAGCCAGGTGCTAAAGCTAGGAGCAGCGAAGCCAGGGCAGCTGACCCAAGCCGGCCAACAGAAGTATTCCACACCATAAATGTCACGCTCACTATAAATTGGAAAATTTGATGGGGACGGGCCCTCTTCCTCCATGGCTGCCATCCCTGGAGGGTCTCACCTGTCATTCTGCTCTCCTGTTTGTTGTGACATCTAGCATCCACTGCTGGAAGCATGCAGCTCACGACCACTATATGGGCAGAGTATAACTTTGTGTACTTTATATTAGTATTAGTATAAATATTAGGGTTTTTTTTTCATTATTTTATTAGATCTGTTTCCATTTTAACCCATGGGTTTCCTTTCCTTTTCCTGATTCCCCTCCTCGGGGGTGGGGAGGGCACTGGGCTATAGGACAACTGACTAAAAGACAATGAGCAATTCCCCTTTAACATGAATGTTAGCTAAACGTTACAGTAATACTTCTTGGCAGGAGTGCAGTCAGCAGCTGCTATGAACAAGCATAGTAGAAATTGGTATCTCATTAGAAATCCTTTTCAATGACATGTACCTTTTAACGTCTTTGCAAAACACAACAGGAACTTTGGCATGGAAATCTGACTCCACATCTGAGTAGACAGCTAAGCAAGGAGCAAAAAAAACCAACATTACATATGAAAATCTTTTACAGTTTTCCCAACTGTGTCTTTAAAACCATTACATTTATACCACACTTTTACAGAATAACTCAAATTAAGTGCTGCATAGCCAACCAGGCAGGCATTTTCTGGTTACTTTTGATGCTCACCACCAATAACACACAGCCAACAGGGGGGAAAAAAAAAAAAAAAAAATCAAATCTTATCAGGAAACCAGAATGGCACCTCTTCTAGAACCTTTTTGTCTTCACAACATTTGAAAGACACAAGGCTGAATCTCTGACAAACCATTAGGCCAGTCTGAGAACCACTTATGAAGTGGTGATGATCCTTCCACCTGAAGGATCAAAAATGCAATGCTACTTGTGTCACTTGGTTCAAGATGTGCTGATTACGGGGTTAGATGACTTCCTGACAGAACAAGGAGGCTGCAGAAGTTTCAGAAGTCTTGTAATAGTTCTTACTGATGTTCATAGGCAAGTTGAAAGTGGCTTTTGGGTTTACTGCTTAGAATTTCTCCTACAAAGATAAATATTTTTTGACTTGGCACCTAATACTATTACTATAAGTTTTGGCAATTTGAACCGGACTACGTGGGCTGCCATTCTCCTGCTGCAGGTTCTCATCTCTCATGTACATAAGCACTGGTATTCATAAAAATCAAAGACAGAAACACCTCTCATACTTTGGTTGAAAACTAATCAATATTCGTAAGTTTACAAAAAATTAAGCATAAAAACAACTGACCAGCAGTTGGAATGTTAATTAAATAGAAATGAGACGCAACTAAAACTCACCACTGTTCTTCAAGATTTCAAGCACCTGTATCAGAACATCTGGTTGACTCATCTAAAACGACAAAATTAGAGCAGCTTACATTATTTAGACTAACCTATTTTATTTTACACTTTGTTTCATATTACTTAGGTTGCACAACGAGTACAACAAAATGGAGGATAACTGTATCTGTCCACACCAAAAAAGAAGGTACTAGTAAACATATTAGCTTTCTTTTAGCATACAGCTTTTTTAGTTACTATTTCTGTTCTAGTTCCATATTAACAGACTCCATAAAGTTCAAACAAAATACTTGCCATATATTCAACAATTTCAGCGTCAACATATGCCACTAGAAATGCACAACAGTAAAGAATTTAATGTCAGTACTTTCCCAAGGGTTTTTAAAGGTTATAATTTTTAAGTGTGCTTTCTTTTCTCCCCGGAAATCAACTTTAGAAGTGTTTCAAAGATAAGCTGTAAATAGTTCAAAGATAAGCTAAAAGTTAGCACCACCTTTGAGCCTTTGTGAAAAAGCAACATGATACGCTCCACCTGCAACTGTTTGAAAAAGGGCTCAGTTTTCCTTCCTAACTGTAGTATCATTCCAAAATGCTACATTTAAGTATGCACCCAAACCAGGTATCTTGAATTGCACTGTAACACATACAGTCAGAAAAAGAGTAAGTTGAGCAGTTGTGCCTCTAACAAGAATGTGTTGCTAATATCATATACTAAACATGAACCAACAACTTCAGTGTTTAAAGGCAAGTTATACTGCTCTGCAGGAATTTTGTATCACAGTAAACTGTAAAGTGGGATGTGACATTTACTTGCAAGTGACTAAAACATAAAAGGAAAATTGTCCCTTTTAATCCCACCTTTAAAAGGCGGAAGGAATGAAGACCAACAAGATTTCATTCTCTGAATCACAAGCACATAAAAGCACACTTATCCAGAGCCAACTATTTTCATATTGTTTCAAAGCTTACTCAAAAAATTTTTTTTAAAAAAAAGCTAGCATAAGATTGTCCAACAAACCCCAGAATTACAGTTACCTAATAAGCAATGCAAACTCCATCCACTTGATTCATAGCACACCTGACACCAAATCAAAGATCACTTGCTTTGTGCTATTCTAACACCATACGCTGCAATAGAAGACGAAGCCAATGGAATATAAATAAATGTCGATGGCCTTCATTTAAAAAACAGTCTTAGTTAATATAAGATAATACCTACACACCTTAGGGGGGAACTTGATATCAATGTTAACATCGCTGGTCTTAAAAGCAAATCTAGTTAAACAGGAGCCATACATCCTCAGCGAACAGTCTGGAAGAGAGAGAAACATAATTATTTAACAGCTAGTAAATAAGTTATTCTTTAATGGATGACACATACCTTGCTTTAGCTACTGTACCTCCCAAGTGGTACTCCCACATTAAATAATATCGAACCACTTTCTAACTCCTGTGAAGGCTACTCATTTCCATAACACAGCATCACAGGAAACCGGATAATTCAAATAGTGTAATTACCAAATGCCCAAAATTTGTCAAGCTGTTTTAAAGTATTTTTGCAATGCAGCTTTAGTTTTGTTTGCAGCTTCATAATATAAAATTAAATATAAAACAGTAATAACAGTCACCATCTCATTGCAGGATTTTATTTAGCAGCTTTTGTTAACTACAGCTTGATTTCACTGCAGCAGTTAGCCAATTATAAAATCCTTTGTTGCCTCATACACTTTTGTTAAAATTTTTTTTGCGTGCTACAATCTGTTAATTTCATTAGCAAGTTCCTATACACAATCCATTACAAAACATGCATACAAAACATAACTCCAATATAATCCAAGACACAAAGTACAGCATCCATTTAGTGTTTTTGTAGTTAATACAGTTCCTTACATGCAAAGGTGTACCACAGATCTAAACTAATTAGAAAGTAACTATTCAGTAATAACATCAATGAGAAATGTCATTCCACTTCCTAAACAATAATTTATCCCACTTCATGGTACAATTTTTGTAGATTAAAGTTTTCCTGTAATACATATTAGGGTCTGACATATTTTATGTCATCTGAAAATTGAGGCTATCTTCAATCCCTTCCAAATCCAACACGCCAATCAAGCAGGGTCACCTAGACCCGGTTGCCCAGAACTGTTTCCAGCTGAGTTTCGAAAATTCCAAGGATTAAGAGTCCACAACCTCTCTAGGCAACCTGTGCCAGTGTTCAACCAGTCCCAGAAGAGGGTTTTTGTTGCATTTTACCTTTATTTGTGTTTTGACCAAACTCTCTCAAACAGAACTACAACAAAGTAATTCTTAGAAGAGAAAATAAATCTTACACATACTGAGCTTTAAACAAATCTTTCTCTATTTTTCACTATGTAGAAACTAGCCCTCTCAAAATAAATTTCTGTATGGTTGATAATAATAGTGCATAGCAATTATTTCCAGTGGCTTTTCATAGTAGTAAGAGTTTTTGCATAGTTCTACTGCGAGCTCAAAAGAAAATCATGCCAGAACATCCCATGTTTTCTACACTGCGCATGAATTAATTTTTTTCCTAATTTACAGTTTAGGAAAACACACTAGAACATAATAGGCTTTGAAAAGGGGAATAACAAATTGTCATGTACTACTACAGGCTCCCCCTCCACTACTACTACACCTCCACATCAGCTCATCAGTCCAGTCAGCCAGACGAAAAACACTAATACAAGAATTTTCATTGGTATTTATGTAAAAGTAATAATTTCCTTTACTTTGTCTTAGCATATGCTAAGTGGAAAACTCAATAGTGTGTCAGAACGGAAGTTTGCACTAGGAGTCACACATGGCAATATTATAGAACAAAGAGATTAGCAAACCTCCACCCTACAAGCCCCTGTTCTATTCAGCACCTTATGTTTAAGCACATATTTAATATAGCTCCTAAAACTAAAGCTGATCATCCTGCAGCGAAAAAAATCTTTCTTACTACTGTATTTTGATAGAGCAAAGGGAAAAAATAAGGTATTTCTAAAATAAAAGGATGGTATAGAATATCAATGTAGTTTCAATATAGATGAAATAAAAAGTTTGAAAATTTATTTTTTGTCAATGGGATTAATACTTTCTTCTGTTCAGATTCACTGAAAAACAAACCATTGTTAACATAATGTCAACAAAAATCAGCTCTCAAATTCCCAGTGTCTTAACTACAGGAAATGATGGGAAATCAATGCAAAGAAGCAAATGTCAAAGATTATCTTATTGTTATATTATTTATATTATTTTATTTTTCCACAGTATTATAAACTGGATTTGAATGTTTAACATGTCCTACTGAACTAACATACTGTACTTCTGAAGGGGGAGGAGTGGGAAGACTACCATTCAACTTATCCAGCCGATTTCTTTTATGAACTCTATTAATGAACTGAACTTTATTGACCCACTGAAGCAAAAAAATTAGGCTAAACATTCAACCTACTCAGACTTTTTTTTTTTCAAATTATTAATCAACATAAAGCACTCAAGAAAAAGTCAGATGAAGTATGATATTTATACATGGCTAAACGTAGTATTTTGACCTATTTAAGACAATTCAAGAGACTTTGGGAAGCTACAGTTGATCTCAAAGCACACCTCTCCTCGTTTTAGGACCCATTAACCATAAATACACGTGAGAAGAAATACCTGTGAAACAATAACCTTTGTTGATTTTAATGACTTGTAATGTTACTAATAAGTACCTGCAGGTGTTTCAGATCACAGTTAAGTACTGAAAATGTCTCATATGCTTACCAAAATCACCCATAGCTGAAGTCTAATTTTTTTTTCCTAAAACTATGCTTAGAAAAAATTGCCTCATGCAACTTCTATCTGCCCTGATTATAAACAACTGAAGGACCATTAGGAAGAAACTACATCTCAAACTCCTTCTCATTTTCCCCTCCTGCTACATTCATATTAGTTTAATTAAGTGCACTTGGAAAAAAAAAAAAAAATCTCTACTATAACAACCACAGATATTCAGTAATGCTAGGTAAGGTATAGATGGAAAGGTTTGTAAGACTAGAGTCTGAGGAAGATCCTCAGTGGCTGAGGCTTTAAACATGGCCAGGAAGGAAATATTTCATACCCTGGAAATTTCCAGTCTTCATCAGAAATCATCACTTTAAAGAGGACCAACAGCTTCAATAAACATGTACCAGAAAGAAGCAAAAATAAGCACAATCATGTTTTCCTCTTTCTGTAGGTTTGTTAGTTCCTTTTAAATCAACTGCCAATCTGTATTAAAATGCCTGTATATATTAATTTCGTATAATAAAAAGATAATTTAACCCCAAAAGCATTAATTCACCATTAAGGAAGGTATTAAAAATCTGTGTAAAATTAAAGAAAAAATTTCACCTAAGGAAAATGGAGAATACTATGAGTACCTGGTAAGGGCTGTTGAATAATTTTCTCCATCTCGTTTACAATTTCTTGACGAATTCTGAAGTCATCATCTGATATGCCTTGTTCATTTGCTGCCTCAATAAGTGTAAAACTCAGAGCAGCCAACTGTGCAGAAGAGGGGGGTGGGAGGGCACGCAGCTCATTTTCTTCTTGTTTTTCCTGAATAATTGTTGGATGATAAAAGTAAAAACTGGTATTTTAAGAGAAAAAGGTTATCTCATACTATTGCATGATATTAGAATGTACTGTTTGCTGTTTGTGTTCTTCTGTTTACGTGGTGTCGTGACCAAACACTTCCAAAGGTAGGAACTCTGCCTGGCCTAACTGGCAAATGCAGTAGCGTGGCTCACAGAAATGACAGTAGATGCTCAGTGTTGAAAAGAGAACATGTTGTTTCACAGCTGGCAACTGGGGAGGAAATCTGCTGCATTACATTCCTGAACCACATTTTCTGACAGTTCTGAAACAGAATTCATCCAAGGAAATTAAAAGCTGTAATTGTTCCTACATAGTAAAAGTAACTGAGCTGAGGAAGTTTTCTAGAGTCACAGATTTTTTTTTTCAGAGTGGATTGTACTTTAAGGAAAGATACCAGAGACAGAAAAAGCATTCCTATCTCCGAGAAATTTTGGTAAGTTGAATCCCATTTATGCCTAAACTGGTTGGTGAGAAGAAATACCTGTGAAACAATAACCTTTGTCTGGCTGGTGCCAGAAAGTGCTATGTTTAGTGCATCAAATTATAACCAATTTAATCCAACAGCATGAAATATGTCAGATGCATCAAGCCATTTGAGAGTAAGTACAACAATCACTTGTTACACAAATTCATCAACTAAATGAACTGTGACTCACAATAGAAATAAATAATAATCAGAAAATAACTATGCACTAAGAAAACACAGTCCAGTATGAAAACGTTTAGTTAGTTCTATGCTGCATCTCTCAACTCTTCTGTTCTTATATGAACAGATTTAGCACAAGAAAGAATATGTCCATTTTTAAGGGGCTGTGTTTTTTTTAATGTCACTGATTTAGGGGTTTTGTTGAGCAGGGAAGCCACAGCTGTTGCTAAGCCTATTTGATAGCCATATATCTCATAGTTAGAGCTGTAAATAACTGTATTTTATGAAGTAATGTTTAGACAGTTACATATCCCTTATAACTGTAATGTAGCACACAACACAAAGCTATTTGAAGACAAGTGTTAAAAATGGAAACTGCTCCCTGTCCTCCAGCATTTCCATTCAGTGTTAAAGAAACCTCATTCCTTAATTCTTATCTCCATGCCCAGATGAAAAGCATGGTATGAGTGTTTCCATATCAAACACAGGGTTGGTTTTATTTTTTTTTCCTCCATGATGCAACTTATCAGACAGCAAGAGAACCAGAGTCCTTCAGAAATAATAACTGAACATAATACAAAAATGTTACTTTCTGAGATGTAATGGATTTATGGAGTTCAGAGCTTTTCAAGTGATGGCTTGCATATATGATAGAGCATTAATTACAAACAGAAGTGTGGTAAGAAATACATGGAAACAGGAGTAAGTGACTGAATTTTGGGGAATGGTTGTAGGAAGAGTAATTTTAACCATCTAAATCGCAAAATCCTACATACTGGGGAATTTGTAGCTCTTTATCAACATTTACAAAAATGGGTTGGCAAGAAAGCTTGTGTGCCTTTTACTGGATTTCATCCTGCAGCAGTTCTTTAAAGCAAAGCAAACACCATGGTATCTGATAAGGAAACTGCTTTTCTCTTTGAAAGCGTTAGAACTGTTTTTCATATTAAACACATACATAAACCCAGTCTGATGATGAGTGACTCGGGAACTTAATTCCTCCCTACTTTTAACTCTCTTTTTTTTAGTCTAGATATACTATCCACTCTTTTCACCCATCACAGAAAGGATGTAGATAAAAACTTCACAAGTCAGGCAAAAAGAGGAAAAAGAAAAACAACAGAAAAACCCCAACATCCCCAACCCCACCTCCAGTCCCTGGAGGTCTTGCTACCAACAGTACTATTTTTGGAAGAAACAGAAAAATCAAATGTTTCTCACCTAAGTTACCTTACATTCTGTTACTAAAAGTATGACGAACTGCCCACTACTCAGAGACACTAATTCAGAAGCAATGACCAAAAATGTTCGTTCCTCTCTGCCTGAACAGGTCATCAAGGCCTTCCTCTCAAACAAAAAAACAAGCAATAGAAATTTGTGGATCTCTGCTCAGCACACAAACTTTCACCTAAATGAAGACGACCAAAGCAAACACACCATATTAAAAAAAAAAAAAAAAATTATTTGTTACTTACCATTATATTTTTCTTATGACGTTTTTCTTTAATATGCTTGTGAGCTCCCTGGATATTTTCAATGTGAACTAAGCAGAGCTTGCATAGATACTGACAATTAGTGTATTCTGGGGAGCGCTGAGGAAAAATAGCCATAGATTAAAAGAAAACGTTTCTGCCAATACACAATTCTTTGAATAACAAATTGTATTCAACAATTATGTAACAGTTGTCAAGGTGCTCTGCAAACATTAAGTAATCTTCAAAAAACGCAGCAGAAATGGATTTTTACCCATGAGACAAGTGAGGAAAGCGAGGAAAGGAAGTGAGGTGACTTTAGTATTACACTTCTCAGTAAATTTTAGTGAGGCAAGATTAAGACCGAAGAGTTTATGCCTCTTAAGGCTGACCTAAAGGCCAGCAAGCCATTCCCTTGTCAGCTCAACCTTTTAATAACTATGGATTTGTTAAATCTCAGCAACTATCCTCCCTTCTCGGATGAGAAAATGGGAAGTATTCATCATATTATCTAGTATACATGTTATGACAGATGGTGTTGTTGTTTGGCTAGCATATTCACAGCGTACTGTGCAAGTACTGCATTTTTTGTTCTATTAAAAAGGGTGCGGCTGGCGAACAAGGAGGAAGTTAGCCAGTTTCTGACTTGCTAATGACTATAGTCTGGGTAAGGCAAGAGGCATCCTCTGACAAGGGGTAGGATTATTCCATTTTGATGAATAGTTTGGGATGCTCAGAATTGGAGAAACTCACAGAACAAGTATCTTTTTGTACAGACAGGCTGGGAGAGATGGAGTATACACATGGACAGCTGCCACCTGGGAGACCCTTGAGAGTCTGCAAGAAGCAGCCAAGCCTCGGGAGATGATGGGGTAGGAGGAATCATTATTTTGCTAGGGTCCAAGAGGGGATACTGTGGAGTTTATTCAACCAGGAAACCACTGAGAACTACTAGACAAAAAGGCAGAAAGGACCACCTCTGCAAAGGCCTGTTCACAAATACTTCATTTTAATCTGTCTCAACCTGCACTTGTACTTTATTGCTCTAATAAAACAAGCCATAGAGATCAGAAACCTTTTGATATACTCTCTGCAAAGACAGAAGGGCCCCAACAAAAAGCCTTAGTTTTTCTCCAGACTTGTTAGCATTTTTCCAATAACTGCTATCAGTTATAACTGGGAGAGAAAAAACCCTACTTAAGATTTTCATCCTAATTCTAATACCATCTATATTTACTAAAACCGAAAAGTATACCGAAACCACCAGATGTTTAAACGGTGACACAACAATGAATGAATGAACAGAGAACACCATTTTAAGACACTAAGGTGGACTACAGATCAGTTAAGTTTAACTGACTATACGGAAACCTAAACCACTGCTAAATTTGGGTAAGTTTTTCCACTTACTGAGTTCGATCTTTTGCTTTTAGGGAAAAAAAAAAAAAAAAAGGGTCTGATACTCTCCAACTGCAGCATAAGTATTAATTTGAAATAACATGGTCATTGCACTTTTATTACTAATTCTCTCTATCCTTATTTTCTATGAGGCAGATACCTAGTAAGATGAAATTAAACACTCATTTGGAAAACAACTTATAGACAGTGACACTTGGCTAGCTCTGAAGATTCAAGTATTCAGTACCTGATGACTGAAGTACATCAAAAATATTTCACCACTCTTCTAAAACAGAATGAATATCAGCAATAATATTTTTTTTTAATTTGGTATTTCTTTACAATACTGATCTGCAGTATTATGTCAACAGATGTTGCCAGAACGGCTGAATCATGTAACACCTTTTATTTTGTCTTTATTGCAAAGCCAACACCCTATTGCTGCTAAAAAAGCAGAGATCCTAAACACAAACACTGTATTTGAGACAGACGAAGTCAGCTTTCCTCAGGTGAAACTGCACGTCTAATTTTGGATACCAGTTATGTGGGGGATGCCTACAGAAAACCAAGAAGAACGAACCCCTAAGACTGAAGAACAAAGAGTGAGTCTAAGGAAGGTAAGACTGCAGGAATGGTAACGATCGTCAAATGTGTAGAAAGTTGCTGAAAAAAGTAATAAACTTATGTTTATTTTCCTAGGATATCATATAAGGGAATTAAAAGCTAGAAGAGATACTTACATTAGACATTAAGAAAAACTTCTGGGTTACCAATATTGACTTCAAAATTTGTTTCACTGGAGATAATATTAAGAACAGTTTAGATGAACATTTTTAAGGAGTCATCTTCAATACAGGTAACTCGACGTGGTGGAAGGCTAATATACTGAAGATAGCAGAAGGTTCCTTTGATCTGGACGAGGGGATCAAGTAGATCAAGTACACCCTCAGTAAGTTTGCAGACAACACCAAGTTGGGCAGGAGTGCTGATCTGCTTGAGTGAAGGGAGGCTCTTCAGAGGCACCTGGACAGACCAGATCAATGTACTGAGGCCAATGGTATATGAGATTTAACAAGGCCAATTGCTGGGTCCTGCACTTGCGTCACAACAACCCCATGCAGAGCTACAGGCTTGGGGATGAGTGGCTGGAAAGCTGCCCAGAAGAAAAGGACCTGGGGGTGTTGGTCGACAGCCGGCTGAACATGAGCCAGCAGTGTGCCCAGGTGGCCAAGAAGGCCAACAGCATCCTGGCCTGTATCAGAAATAGTGTGGCCAGCAGGAGTGGGGAGGTGATTGTGGCCCTGTACTCGGCACTGGTGAGGCTGCACCTTGAGTACTGTGAGCAGTTTTGGGCCCCTCCCTACAAGAAAGACACTGAGGCGCTGGAGTGTATCCAGAGAAGGGCAACGAAGCTGGTGAAGGGTCTAGAGAACAGGTCTTATGAGAAGTGGCTGAGGGAACTGGGATCTTTGGTCTGGAGAAGTTGCACCAGTGGAGGTATAAATGAGATACTAGGAAAAATTTCTTCACTGAAAGGGTTGTCAAGCATTTGAACAGGCTGCCGAGCGAAGTGGTTAAGTGACCATCCCGGGAGGTATTTAAAAGACGTGTGGATGTGGTGCTTAGGGACATGGCTTAGTGGTGGACTTGGCAGTGCTGGGTTAACAGTTGGACTTGATGGTCTTAAAGGTCTTTTCCACCCTAAATGATTCTATGATTCCATGATCTTGTTTTCTGAGTTTCCAAGTAACCAGTTTCTAGAAAATCTTAGGTAAGTAATGGAACTGTAGACGTTTAGGTCTGCAGAATTAAAAATTACTGTTCTACACAGGCTACACGTGCCACAAAAGGAACACCAAGTTTCCTATCCGTATCACCTGCCATGATGAATGACTAGTCAACCACTAGGGATTAATACCTTAAATTACTAAAGTGATTCATTATAAAGAAGAACGAAACAGAGGCAACTGGCTCTCACAGAAATACCACCCAACCAGAAATATGTGATGATAATGAAAGAAGACACCCAATTCCTTTTTCATGTGATAAATAACTCAACCTACTTTCTCAAGTCGGGAGATATAATCTCTTTCCAGACGTTCTTCAGCTTGTTTCAATCCTAGTTGCTGTTCAACTGTCAGATTAGATTCATCAATAACAGCAGTGTTTTCTAAATAATCAGCTTCCAAAGTATGTTCTTTAGTTGATTCAGAATTCTTTATTTTACCTAGAGAAAGAAACAGTGATTTTCTTCAGAGTAACTCAGGACAGGAAAAGTGGAAGTTCAGTACGGAGCATTTAAGAGCATCTCACTAAGGAGCCAGACACAAATTAGAGCTACGAAGCCTGGCCAAAATCACCTCAGACATTAGAATCTTGCCAGTATTTTGCAGAGCCTTCAGAGACTAGCCTGCTACTAAGAATGCTATCAAAAAGAGGGGAGGAAAAAAAAAAAAGGTAGATTCATTTTGTGTTTCAGTCATAACTTCACAGTCTCTATTTAAAGTTCTTCAAGGCAAGAAAGGGTTTTTTTGTATTATGCAGAACAGAGTACGTGAGATCCTGATGCTCTACTATAACAGAAATAAGAACTATTAGGCTTAAATTTTTTTACACAACACATTTTGTTAAGGAAACAGTCATAGAAGCGCCTTAAAGACATTCACCCAAATGATCTTTTACAGCCAGTCATCAGGCATTTCAACCTCTCAACTTAGAAGGCTGCTGGAGTTACGTCTGAACACAGTGCGACACCTTGCCGCCCATGGCTAGCAACCACAGCGCTATGGAACGCTGCTGCTCACAAACATGCAGGTCAATTCCGAAAGACCAGTTCCTCCAGATGCCTATGAATTGTTCATAGTCCACTCATCTGTACAAACATCTACATCTTAAATTATTCCAGTAGCTTTTACATCAGCAAAAACGAGGGTTGTTTGTGTTTTGGGTTTCTTCCTTTCTCTTTTTCTTTCCTTTCAAATGAGATCTGTGCCCCAAGACAAAGAATCAAAACTGAGCAAGTTTTCAAGTCCTCATTTCTCAGTGACAGATGGTCCCTACAGTACATGACGGAGGTCTACAAAGAGCTGACTGATCACAGGATGCTGCCATTTCAACTTGGTTTTCCTGTTAAATTTTATTAAGATAGCTAAGATGCACTTTAATATTTTCCTAGTATTTCCATACAAGCAACGGCTGTAGCTGTTGCAATAGTGAGAAATACTTCAAACAGACGGTCTGCACTGGCACTCTGTCTTAAAACAGCACTTGTATTAGAAAAAAATGCATTCTGAAAAAGTGTGACAAATCCTGAACTCAGGATTCAGTTAACCTGAAGTGAGACAAAGCCTGATCCATATGTTGAATTCTGAAGTTGAAAAATATGTGTAAGAACTGAACACTCATAAGGGTAACTACTGATGGACAGTATGTATTTCAGAGCCCCCTAAATCAAAAAGACATCTGCCAAAACGTATTTTAAACATTTTTAGTAACAAAGACAGCACAACAATCAAAGAAAAAAGGTAACTGTTTTCCCCCTACCCATTAAAAGAAAACAAACCCACAAACTTTTCTTGCAGATTTTTCCCCTGATCTTTCTGAAAAGCAGTAATAGCTGGCATTTCCGTAAGTGGCAATGATACTATGAAGGGTTCTCCCCTCCCAAGATACTATATTCACAAAATTGCTTGAAACCCACGCACACTAAGTACCTTGCAAAGATATTTAGGTCTTAGGCACGAGAAAAAAGGACATCTATTATTATAATCTTTTATGCTTTAAGTAATATGCTTGTATTAACAGTATGTTCTCTCTAAATGCAATCAGCAACTTACTCTATGTGAAAAAAAAAATGCAAACAGAAACATTTCAAAGCCTATTTCAGATTGTTAACAATTTTACCAGAAGAAAATTGAATAAAGTAGAGTTGAATAGTACTCACTAAAGTCGTCAGGCTTATGTTCCATTTTTCTTTGATCTGAAGCAGTCTTACCAGGATCACCACTCTGATCAACACTAGTCTTCAAAGTATGAACTCCCAGTGGATTTTCTGACACCAGTTTCCCTTTCTGTGTAGCTGTTAAGCTTTCCGCACTGACCCCATTCCCTGAAACATGGGAGCCTGAAAAGTTTTCTCCCACTGATTGCGCTTTTGTCTGTTTCAGGTTTTCCACTGTTGATGATAAATTAGAAAATTTTTTTGCTTTTCCATGACTTCGATCCTGAACATTTGACCCCATATCTTTAGTTCCAGGAATACAACTATTTACTTTGCATGATTTATTTTCTCCTTGTTTTTCAGAAGAAACATCATTTTGTTTACTTTTTTTGCTGCTATTCCCACTTGGAGAACTTCTCCCAACATCCTTCACAGATTTGTCATTTCTATTATGTTTATAATTTTGATTATTTGTAACTTTGACTGCTTTGCCTTCCTCACAGACAAGACGGACAGACTTCCTCGGGTCATGATTCCCATTCTTTGAGCTCTTGGCCTCTTCCATTATAGTGAAGACCTGCTTCTCCTGTCTCTTGAGACCACTTGAAGTGCAATTCTTCAGCAATTTGCAGTTGATTTTAAATCCACTGTGTAGGCAAGGATAGTAGCTGATTGTCTACTGAAGAAATAATGATAGACATTTTTAAACTGAAGGAAAAATAGCAAAGCTCTATGTAGACAATGCATTAAAATAAACCTCTCTAAAGAAAAGTGTAACTACAAATTATTACAGGAAGCATGTTCCCCCCACAGGGGGGGGATTTTGATCATCTTGACTTCTATTTAAAAGAGGAGGGGACATGAAGAGGCAAAAAATTGCAGAACATGGTAAAAAACACTCAGTGATAAACCTGCCAACAGCTTGCTTTTTTCTTTCCTTCCTATTTTTGGCTTTCTGAAAACAACAACAACAACAACAAAACAAAAACAAAGAAAAAACCAAGAACCAAGATGTCTGCAACTACACTTGGGGGGGGTAATTAACACATCTGAAAAATACCACTCAATAAACATACAGCTCCAATTATCTACTAGAGAAAACTAATTCAGTTTCCAGCAACCATGCTCCATTTTATTAACTGATTTTAAAAAAAAAAAGTTATTTAGAGCTACGAAGTATTAATAATAAACCTGACCTAACACCTGTATCCACAAATACTTAAGCATGTTTCTGACACATATAATTCTCATGTAAGTTAATTGCCATCAATTAAGTAAGATTTTGCTTAGTCAAAAAAACACAAATAGTAACTATTTTTTTTCAGCTGCAGATTAACTTACCTAAACCTTAGTCCTTTAGGTGGTATATCATCTGAGCTTTATGTTAGAGACAACTCAAAGGTTGTTTTTCCAATGGGAAGCTAAGCATGAATAAATGGGTCTGTTGGTAAGGAATTAGTCTTACAGAAAACAAAGGGGGAATATGTAACAAGAACATGGATTATTTTTTTTAAATAACTGTAAGAGAGCAGTAAAAAATAATGAGAATAAAGTATTACAGAGAAGAAAATGAATTTTGTAAAACCACAGCAAGATACGGACTTTGGAGTTTTTCTCTTTCCTGTCCAGCTATATATTTGGTACGTAATCCATGGAAATGTCTGGGTTTTAGAGAACCCATCAAAATAAGTAGCTTATCATTTAGTGAAGAAAAGGAATAATAGAAAAGTCAATGAATTACAACTATTAGAAGTATCACAGTATACTTTCATATTAATAAGAACCAGAAGGAAGGATCAGATCAAAATGTCCAGTTAAAAAAAAAAAAAAAAAACTAAAAATCTTCCTGAATATTATCAGTACAAAGGACAGTGATTTTTTTTTTTCAGGCTATATAATGTAGTTACTATCTCTCTCTCACTTTAGAGACACAAATCAGAAAATACTTCAGGACACAAAGCACATACTAAAACCAGTTATCTTAAGCCCCTACTGACATAACTGAAAAATACATTTTATCTTTCAAAAATGAAAATCAAACAAACAGAACCCACAAGAATTTTCATGAAGTCAATGTTAGCATCAGTCTTCAGTAAAATATAAAACTTGAAAAAGAAAAAAACCCTCTGCATTCCTAAATTCATTCCAAGGGCTAAGCATTTTATCTCACAAATACTCTTAGTTAATATTACAACTATTTTCTACTAAACACTGATTACACCTGGCTCTTACTTCTAGACCAAAAGTCAAAGACCAAAAATCAAAAAGATTAAAATAGTATTTGCCTTCGGATTGTAGTCAGTCTTTCCTATAGCAACTCTTATTAGCTCGGCAGCAAGAACTACTGCCCACCTGTACCAGCACTGCCCAAGCTTCAGCGTGTAAGAGCAGCCCAAGGACCCCACAGGTTGGCTGAACTACTCTAGTCCCTGACCACCAGTATAAAGCACTGTTCTATAGACCGGTGAGATGTTATAGCTATGTACATGATGTCTTTAAACTGTACTCTACTGTGAATATTTTTTTACGTAACCAAAATAGAAAGGAGAGCAGGATTTTTCAAATTCTGAACTATTCCTTACATTTAGTTGCTCAGCCTGAAGGGGGGGGGAACAACAACAACAACAATAAAACCAACTCCCCACACATCAACTCCATGTTCATTCCCAGTTCATTGCTGACATCCGCATCACCCTTTAACTCTGGACTGGAGCACACCGAGGCCACACTTCCACGTCCACTGAAAAGCTGCGTAGATCAGCGCCAACTATGACAGGAGCAATAACACCCTTTCTCCAACCCCAGCTACTTACTCCCACTCCTCGGCTGCTCCCTCTCTTGTGCAGTGAACAAAACCAGAAAACCAATCCAGCTTAACATAAAGCTGGCACAAGGGATGAGGAGGAGCAGAAGCTGTTAATAACAAACAACTAGTAGGGTGGGGACAACTTCTCTTGGCACCACTTCCAGCTGAAAGCTACCGTGAAACTCCAGCATTGGAGGAAAAGTGGGGCTTCATTTTGCTCTGCTTTTTCTGTCAAATTTAGATTTGTATTTTGCAAGGTTTTAAAAAAATCCACAAAAAATCTACTGTAGGCTCAAATGGTTTGATCTCATCTATTCAATAAAATACACAGTTATATATTCAAACAGAATATATAAGTTTTAATCAGATGTACAAAAGTGATGGGGAAAAAACAACCAAGGAAACTGCTAGTAAAAACTATAACTATTAAATTGAGTACTGTGATAACGTTACAGATTAAGAGAGTGAGTGTAAGAAAATGCAAGTAGTTAGGGTTAAAAAGCACAGACATATTCTTTAATCCTGAGAAAATAAAGATAGGTGATGAAATGTCATAAGACAAGAATATTTTGTACCAAAAAAAAAAAAGTTAAAAGTTACACAATGAAATTCAGAACCTGAAATGCAAGTGCAATCATAACATTGTACTTTGGGACTTTTTTTTTTCCTTTTGCTCTTTAATACTGAAATGATTTAGCAAACAAAAAATACTCTAAACTGCTGTAACATACTCAATAGTAACCACATTATCATCTCACAAAGAACTGCAAAGTAAACCAACTAACGAAACTTAACATGAAAGCAGAAGAGACCACTAAACCCAAGACAGTCTCAAAAAGATCCCTCCTCCTCTGCCAGATATTGGCTATCTACACATGAGACAGGAGAGAGGTAAATGGGAGGAGGGAAAGGAGCGCCTCCGAAAAGAATAACATGGTTGGAAACAAAACATTGGAGTGGAGTGAATCAGTGCTGAGATGGCATCTTTCTAGAAACCTGGATGGCACGTCTTATTCACAAGCTCAGGCTCATACCAAATTGCCAGACCTGGAAGCAAAGAAGAATTTTCTCCCAGGCAGGCTGGCAACAAAGACAGTTTTTCACCTGCGCCTGCAAAGTGGGGTATGATTAACCTCCTCAAACCATTTCAGCATATTTCATTTATTCAACATCCTGGTGTTACAGGGGACTCCATTCCCCTGCTTTCTGAATGTACCGTGACAGTTAGTCCCTTGAAATCTAGCTGAGCTCTTGGATTTTTGTAGAAGAATAATCTGGCTGAAACGCAACAGCTTGAGGTTAGACAATATACCATCTGACCTCAAATTCTAGAAAATTATTAAGCCTATACATACCTACAACAATCAAATTAAAAATGTTTAAAGTCAGCTTCAATTTCATTACTGTAGAATTCATTTTAGGTTCACAAAATGAAGAAACGAGATTGTTTCACTTTCATTTCTGCCAGTTTCTTTTGCTTCCTCCTTCTCCCAGACTCCCGTTTGAAAATTCTGCATTTGAATTGCAAAAGCTCAGGGTAACAGGAGTTTTTCCAAACAGGAAAAAAAACAAACAAACCCACTTTCAAGAAGGTATCTCTACCCATTTGCCCTTCTACTCCTTCCTCTCTAGTTGTTCAGCTGTATTTAACTCTTTCAAAAGCATGCATTTTGGGTCAGACTTTGCCCTAACAGGGCCTCTTCAAAGATGAAGGCCAAGTTAAACTGTGAGCTCTTGCATTCTGAGTTGCTCCTTTGCAAAGCATTTCAGTTTTAATCATTTCATTAGCAGCAGAACTGAATACACCCGGCTTCCTATACATTAATTTTGTGCTCCTCTGTCACACTCCCAATCACAGCCCACTGCGCAAGGGAGGAGACATGCTACAGCTGAAGGACTACACATGCTGACTGGTTTTTTAGCTACTCCCTAAGAGGAAACTTAACTTCCACCTGCTTTTCCCTCAGCAGAGATCCCTCCCCTCTATTAAGGCATGATTTTTTTTTCCAGAAACATACAGAAACTCAATGATCTTTTGACATTACTTCAAATACATTCTAAAATTTGGGCCCAACTGGCTGAAATGTCCAAAATAACGACAAGAGTGTAGAAGAACAACTAAATGGAAATAGAACAGTCTCCTAAGTTTCGCTTCCCCAGGGAGTACTAGATTAAATATAAACAATAAAAGTACTACAAACAGAATTGTTATCACCCTCTTTCTATAAAGCACTCCCTCCTTTGAGATAGAGTGACCTGTATTTTATCTGAGATCTGCTTTTATCTGTCCCATTACGATTGTCCCTTAAGCTCGATCTCCCCAGCCAGCTTCCAACAGCAAGTGGGGTGATTAACCTCAGTCCCCCCTGCCCGATTACCAATATAGCTCAGCTAACTTCCTCAACAAAAATAAAAGGAAATTCAGCAAACAAAGGTTACAGCCACAGACAGGAACCAAAGGAAAAGGTTGTCTTCTGCACTCTGCTCAGACTGCAGCACAGGTAATGTCTCCAGACAGCCATAATGTGTTGGGGGAGTGTCTCTTTTCTGGACTGTTTATAGCCTTAGATCCCTTTTTGTGCCTGAGAACTTCTACAAATAATTCAAGCTTCTCCCATGTTCTATGCCAATAGTTTTAAAACACATTTATGTTTGTTTTATGATGAACCAGACATACCAGTACAAACTATTATCAACCCTCACGTTTCTCCAAACTACTTAAAACTATCAGAGATTACTGGTGACTAAAGCGCCTCAGGCTCCACCAGCAATAAACCCACAGGCATTCTTAGTAACAAACATAAGGGCTATACAGTGTTTCAGGTCTTCCTGTTTCTACAGGCTATAGAATTTAGGCTAACAAGC